TTAAATCTAGTACAAATTTTAAGTTTTTGTTGTATTGTAATTCCGGCTGTTGACTAAAGTGTAATGTCCTGGACTTGGAGGAATATCACCAGATTCCCAAATAGTTTTCTCATTAGTAAGATCAAACACAATTTTTCCACCATTCACAAACACATCTTCGTGGCTAATCCAGTTTTTGTTCCAGTTTTTGCCGTTTACGGTGACTGATTTGACGTAGATGTTATCTTCACTAAGATTTTTGGCCGTTATTTCAACTTTTTTACCATTTGCCAACGTGATGGCCACATATGGCAAAAAAGGAGAAGATAAAAGATAAGTTGGTGTCGCTGCAACCGGATACAACCCAATCAAGGCGAAGAAGAGCCACGCTTGCATGGCTCCAGCATCTGAATTTCCTGGAAGTAAAGTTGAAGAATACTTGCTATTAACTAAGTATTTTATTGTCTCAACCGTTCTATATTGGGCATTGACATAATTGTAAAGGTAGGGAGTCAAAAAACTAGGCTCGTTTCCTATATCGGCAACTCCATCCGTGTCTTGGCCATGAAGACCAAACATGTCGTCTAAACGACGAAGGAATGTCAGTTCAGAGCCAATGAACGACTTTAATGTCTCCACATCATGAGGTACAGCCCAACCGTACTCAACTGGTTTGCCTTCGTATTCATCATCGCCCCAGTAACATCCTCCACAAGACATCGGGTCGTAATCTGTGTAGTTGAAAGATCCATCGGCATTCTTTGGCTGGATAAAACCAGTATAGTTATAACCTTCAGCTGTAGCTGCAAAGTTCCATATGTTTTGCCAGTTAGCTGATCTAGCTAAATATTTTTTATGGTCGGAGTTTTTTCCTAGACCCTTAGCAACAACAGAGAGCGCATAGTCGTCGTATGCATATTCCATAGTTCTTGTAACAGATCGGGTATAATTTCTAGTGACCCATCCGTACTTGAGCCAATCTGGTAAAGCGCCTCTTCCATCCTTAGTAGAAGCATCTGGAGCATAAGAATCATACCAATAAGGGGGCTGCACTTCAGCATTCTTGACCATAGCAGCATAGGCACTGTTCCAGTTGACCCCTTCATTTATATTCTTAATGTAAGCATCTGCCATTACGATATCTGAATTAGACCCTCCTTGGGTTCTACCATTTTGATTTGCGGAACGTCCATCTGGAGTAAACCCTTCGTTTTCATATATTGCCGTAAAGCTTCTAATAATTTCAGCTCCCCTAGTTGGATTAAGTATATTAATCATGGGATTCAAGCATCTAAACGTATCCCAGAGTGTAAAAAAGTCATCATAATATGGCTCTGATGAGTCCCAGTTAGGATTTTCCCCTGTTCTATTGGATGGTAATAAATGAGCACCATAAAGGGAATCAACAAGCCAGTTTCTTATGGTATCGTTGTCGGTCTTAAAATTAACCTTGTCAAAGACTTCGCTTCTCCACTTATTTTGAGTGGCCTCAACAGTCCCTTTGAGATCATAATCTTCACCAAGCTCTTGATTGATATTCTCACAAGCTTGATCAGTTGAAATGAAAGAAACACCAACTCTACTGTAAATTTCAGTCTCATTTTGAAACTCAAAAACTAATCCAATGGACGAGTTTTGCAGGTCAGCAAACGCGGATGAACCTTCTTCAGCATTTGAGTCTGTGAAGCTAATGACTTTGTTGGAGGGTGTTTTGAAATCTCCACAAAAATAGATGGTCCAAGGTGCTTGTAATCCCCAACCTCCCTTGATGGTAGTATACCCGGTGTACCCATATTTATTCTCACTAGCTTCAATGGACCCGTTAACGAAATACTGTGTCCACCATGGCCTAGATGGTGCAGCTAAATGATGTGACGCGTTTATCATAATTTGAGGGGTTGCTCCATCTGGAAATGTGTATTTGTAAATTCCTGATCTTTCGGCTCCAGCAAACTCAATGGTAGTGTTGTCTGTCGTCTTGACGGTGTATTTTCCTACTATACCAACATCGGCCTCTGATCTTTCGATATAACTTTCCGTCGTGTAGTCTATTTCTGATACTAACGGTAGCTGCGAAACCACCCCGTATTCTGGGGCTCCTCCAGTCCCCGATTCGTGCATCATGGATATCCCATTGATTATACCACCAGGCGCATATCCAGAATAAGCATCTCCAAAACTTGAATCAATAGCATCTATACCCATCTTCACCATCCCAAAGGGACGAGTCGATCCTGGGAAAACATGTCCTGCACCGTCTGCTCCAAAAAATACATTCACATTGTCTATGGAATCTCCCTCTACTACGGACAAACAAATGCTACCAATAACTGTAATTATCGATATAAGCGTCCGCATTCTTTTTGGTGTATAGCGATTGACGTTTGTCTATGTCCACTCGTTAGGTATCTTTCTTTATACGGCTGTTATAAAGTCAATATTATTTATCTATAATTTTTTTGAAAAATTTCTTTTTTTCACGCACTATTTTTTCGCAACTATAAAAGATAGCATTTATGGCCCTCTTTATATCACTGACTTTAAGATACCAAGAAAACACCCCTAAACGCTCTTTCTTCCAAGAATGTTAGATTATTAGCGACCTTATGCAATCGGATCGTTACCAGGTATACCGTCCTCTGATTACCGACACTAAATCCAAAAAACGTGGTTGATCTCTCTTTACAACAATGTAATATACATCTTTGCAACAATAACATTTGATGTAAATCGATGTGGCTCAAACATACCATCCCTTTGCAGTCGGGGATTCGTCGATGTTAATGTTAGCCTCCTCTAATAATGTAGCCTACCGTTTTTGCAGACTTCGAGGTCCACAAGGGGAATATTGGGGGAATATTCTCCTATCAAATGACATTGTTAATATCCACATGGTCTCGTGGTAGTTTTATATACAGTGAGTTTATTGTTCCCATACCATCAACGTCACAGACAACTCGGAATGTACAGATTGATGTACATATTGGTCAGGTGAGAGAGATTCATCCTATTGATGAATTCTGTACCATGTGGATCGATCTTTTGTTGTTAATTTAATGTTCAAGTAGACATATAGAGGACCCTTTTCAGAGGGACAATGTCGCGGAATCTAGGCGACTTTATGAGATCAGCTGATGTCACATTGAACCCTAGCGCGACATTGTCTAGCACAGTCTTTTTTCCCTAAGAAAATTTTGCTTGTGATGTGGGATATGGGAAAGCAGGACGGCAAAGATAAAGTAAAAGAAGTAGGAAAAGAGCATTAGGACGGAACTGAGTAGTGTTAACGTTATATCGGAAGCCCATGGTGGACTCTAAATCGAAGAAAACTATCAATAAGTTGGGGAAACTCTTCGGAGTCCTGTCAACAACACTTGTGAATGAGAATGGGGAGTTAGAGAATGGAGCTGCCGAATCGACTGATCAGTTAGGTACAAATGTTGTCTCCAATAACCAAGAAGATGATATTGTTACTCCCCTTCGTAAGGAGGCAGTTGTGTCCCCTTCGAGTATGTCACCTAAACTGAACCAGGGCAACTCTAATTCGAAGATTGTTCCTACAACCATTTCGAACAATGCTTCACCCTCTAATTCACTGTTATCCTCAGGTGAAATTGTGCATCCCCAGCCTCAATCTCTGGCTGCAACTAGTAATACAATTTCAAGCTTGCAAAATTTAACCATGAACAATTCGGGAGCGCCACTGGTTTCAAGAACACCGTCAGCTATTAAGAGACCCTCATCTGGAGTTGTCCTGAAATCAAATCCTGTTTCAAGATCTTCGTCAGTGAAAGCCAGACCTCCACTTTTGAAGGACCAATCCAGCCAAGCTGCCGCAGTGAAACCTCGTTTTAGAATGTTGGAAAATGGAAATCATGAACATAATTTAAAATCTGCAAAAAGGCAAGAAAAGCTTTCTAATATGATCAAGGATTTATTGGGTGCTAAGAAGCTTAGAAGTGAAGCTAAAAGTGCCGTTCCAAATATTCTTAATGGTGTACCTCAAACGCCTAACCAAGATCAGAAGAACAAGCCACCAACTTTGTTTGCTGGCTTGGTGAACCAGTTTGAAAATAATGTATCTCCTTACCATGGACCTGCATTGGGTCCGCCCGAACAGCAGGACTCTCGTTCTTTTGTTGAGAAATATGGCCGATGTCTGGAGGTTATAGGTAGAGGTTCATTTGGAACCGTTAGAATTTCTCACAAAAAGCTTGATGGCTCGGAAGAGATCCTTTATGCTGTCAAAGAATTTAAAAGGAGACCCAGTGAATCCGAAAAGAAATATAACAGGCGTCTTACGTCTGAATTTTGCATATCGTCATCGTTGAAGAATATTAACATAATTGACACCCTTGATTTATTGAAAGATGCAAATGGTGATTATTGTGAAGTCATGGAATTTTGCTCTGGAGGAGATTTGTATACTTTGATCATCACCGCTGGGAAACTAGAGTATGCTGAAGCTGATTGCTTCTTTAAACAATTGATCAGAGGTGTTAATTATATGCATGAGATGGGAGTATGTCACCGTGACTTGAAACCAGAAAACTTGTTGTTGACTCAAAATGGTGTTTTGAAAATCACAGACTTTGGAAATGGTGAGTGTTTCAAAATGGCCTGGGAATCGGAAATCCAACTAAGTGAAGGTATATGCGGTTCATCTCCATATATTGCCCCTGAGGAGTTCTCTCAGGATTCGTTTGATCCTAGAGGAGTTGACATATGGGCCTGTGGAGTCATTTACATGGCCATGAGAACAGGTAGGCAATTATGGAAATTGGCAGATCCCAGGAAAGATGAGTTCTTTGAAGAGTATTTATTAAAGAGGAAAGATGCTACTGGTTACGAACCTATTGAGTCCTTAAAAAGAGCCAGGTGCCGGAATGTTATCTACTCTATTCTTGATCCCAAACCTGAGAGGAGAATTAATGGTAAACAGATTTTGAATAGTGAATGGGGTCGGGAGATTAAAGTATGTGAGGCCGGCGATGGGAAGAAACGTAACCTTGCTCCATGAAGAACTTGAGCTTTTGTAGTATATAGTTTTATATTCACCTGTACACTAGTTTGCACTAATATTCATTTCACTTACTACGAACACGATTTTAACCTAACGCGGTTATGTTTAGAAAACATAAAAGAAAAAAAAAAAACAGGACGGCTTTTAGACGAATCAACACTTCTTTCACAAAAACGAAGTTCACTGTTCATTTCAAACGATAACCTGGTGTAAAATCGCTTTGAACTTCTGAACATTTGGATAATTTAGAAGTAATACGAATTACAGACTGAGATGGTGGAGTTATCTGATTATCAACGTCAAGAAAAAATTGGAGAAGGTAAGTATTGGTTTAAATGTGGTGTGTCGTATAACTATCGAATACAAGGTTGGTTAATTTGGTTAATCATACATACTAACTAGCATAGGTACTTATGGTGTTGTTTATAAAGCATTGGACACGAAACATAATAATAGAGTTGTTGCGATTAAGAAGATCAGGTTGGAATCAGAAGATGAAGGAGTCCCATCTACCGCTATCAGAGAGATTTCTTTACTTAAGGAAATGAGAGATGATAATATTGTTAGGTTGTACGACATAATACATTCGGATTCTCATAAGTTATATCTTGTTTTTGAATTTTTAGATCTTGATTTAAAAAAATACATGGAGTCGATACCACAAGGTGTTGGACTAGGTGCTAGCATGGTTAAAAGGTTTTTGGTACAATTAGTGAAAGGAATTAAGCATTGTCATGCCCATAGGGTTATTCATAGAGATTTGAAACCGCAAAATTTATTGATTGATAAAGAAGGTAATTTGAAATTGGCTGATTTCGGGTTAGCAAGAGCTTTCGGTGTTCCTTTGAGAGCTTATACGCATGAGGTTGTGACTCTTTGGTACAGGGCTCCAGAGATCTTATTAGGTGGTAAGCAATACTCGACTGGTGTTGATATGTGGTCTGTCGGTTGTATATTTGCAGAGATGTGTAACAGAAAGCCATTGTTTCCAGGCGATTCTGAAATTGATGAAATATTCAGAATCTTTAGAACATTAGGTACTCCAACAGAAGAAACATGGCCGGACGTGTCTTACTTACCAGATTTTAAGCCAACGTTTCCTAAATGGTCCAAAAAGAAACTTTCTGATGTTGTGCCTTCTCTCGACGACAATGGGCTTGATTTATTGGATCAAATGTTGGTATATGATCCAAGTGGACGGATAAGTGCAAAGAGAGCGCTTATTCATCCATATTTTCAAGATGATAGTGATGGGATCGACGCTCACCATAGATCGATTAATATGGGCTAATATTCATACTTCTACATTGTGGTTCTTGATGCTATTTCTTTCTCGTCATTACTTAATAGTGTATATACACTAGGATTTACTTATAAGCTTTAATCGCTTAAAATAGCTAGTAATTTCATGGTAAATATATGCTGTAATTAATAGGGTAATTGCCAAAGGTATGGAGAATAAGGCAAACAGAATATTTTGATCCCCTACCTCTGGCGAAGTTCCTTTGACTAGTTTGTCGATTATTATTTTGTCCTCCTCGGTGAGCTTTGTGAGCCTGAGATCCACCGCTTGAGGAAGGAGGTCTGCGGAAATCAGTCCATTTTCTTCGCTTCTTTCTATCAATATATTCACGAATTCTCTTTTCATATCAGAAGCGTCATGATTGAGTCTGGTTATCTTGTTAGTTATTATATGAGTCTTTTCAGCGAGTTCTTTCAACCTTTCACTATCATGCTTATTTTGTTCTTCGAAGCAATTTAGTTGGTAATCAAAAACGTTGAACTTTCGTGCCAAATTTTCGTGGAATGCTTCAATATCATCTAGGATCTCTGCTACATTGAATTCATTTTTCGCCTTCTTGTTACGCAAGGGACTCGTATCATATTCGTACATGCTCGACAGTGTGGTTACCGGTGCCTCCATTAAAGTTGCAGTTTCATCGAAGTCATCGTCATCTGAATCTAATTCGATCGGATTCGTTTCTGAAGCTCCTGGCTCTTCTATTTCTGATATTACGACATCTTCTTCAGCTACTGGAAAGCCCAAAGTGTTGATTTCTTTCTCCGTGACTGATATTATCCCACTCCCACTCTGTGGATAAAACAGAGCTTCGATTTCAGATATTAGCTTGTCCACTTTATTTGCATTCGATGATCTGAACCCTCCCGTATCATATTGGTTTATTGAACTATCTAGACATCTCTCTCTGCTCATCCCCGAAAAACCTTGCTCAAAAGCTTCCTCATCACCAGTCACAATGGTTCCCATTGAACTAAAGTTACACTCTCCTCAGTTATACCTCTTCTTCGACTATCAGTTCAGTCTTAAGCATAAAATACAAGCTACTGCTTATCACAAAGGTCTAAAGAAGTTATACTTTTTCTACTAAAGCTTTTCGCCTTGAATACGATTCCTTAACCGCAAGATAGATTCTCGTGTTTTCGTTTCAAGGTGCATTTTTCCTTTTTGGGAGTTGTAATTGATGGGCATACCACAAAAAAAAAATTCGTTGAAGTGTGAGAATTTGAGTTCAACACTACTGTAGAAAAGAAAGAGCAGAACTATTCAATAAAGTAATGAAAAATACACTTAATCGTAAGAATTATAAAAGTCTATACTGCGAACCACATCAAATAGCAGACGTTTAGAGTTTGCATTCTATATATCAGTATTCGGATCACTTTTATAGATTGCCTTCTAAGTCGAATATTAAAATGGGGGGCAGGTACGGCAGCTTTTACGAAGGAGATGACTACTACAGCGGAGGCTCTTACCGAGGCTATAGGGGCCGTGGTAGAGGTAGAGCTAGTGGAAGTGGAAGTGGTGGAAATAGAGGATCATATTATCGTGGAGGGTATCTGAACAGATACAGCTCGTATCGAGGTCGTGGAGGCTATGGGCCGGCTCGAGACAATTACTACTATGAGGAACAAGACTATGGACAGAGAGAAGATAGTAGAAACAATGACATTAATAGGGATAATCTCGGTGATACAGAAAAAGATGATGGTAGCAGTATCAGTCGTAGCTCTGGATCTGGATCCGGAGGACGTCATAGTGCTGGTGATGGAGGCTACGGTAGTCACGAAGGATATAGTTCTTCGGCACCTTATGGGCACGGGGGCGACAGAAGATATAGAGGAGTGTATGGAAGTAGAGGTAGAAGCTATGGCTCGCATGAAGAACGTAAGCAGAGGCTGGAAGATGGATATTCTCTCGCACAAAAGAAACAGCCGTCTCTGAAAAGCACATTCAATGGTTCAAAACCAAGCTTTTCAAATCCTTGGATCGAAATCTTGCACATTACCGATGGACAGACCCGTAATGTGTTTGAACTGCGTTATGAGGAGCTTCAAAAGGCTGACGAAAAACTTCTTGAAATACAGCAAGAAAGATTACGAATTGAAAATTCGGTAAAACTCCTTGAGAAACAAGCTGAAAGAGAAGATCTACATGTCAACATTTTGAATGAAAAGCTTGAGGAGTTTGCCTACGTGTAGATATTTGGAGCATGATGAGGTCTTTATGGTTCTCTATAATGTATTATTAATTTAATGATATTAACTAATGTAACTTGATAATCTGTAACGCGCACGATAATATCTGACTTTAAAAAGCTAGACTCGTATTCATAATTAGTTTTATTTCCCAATTATATTGTGAACATGACGTTTGTATTGTTGAATACTGAATCCAAGTTCATTGAACTAGTGCTTTATATCTCACTCTTTGTTGGGGTGTTCAAGTTAACTACTTTTCTTTTAAGTTTGTTCTCCTTGATCGCTGATGTGTTCATCTTACCACCTGTCAATTTTAAAAAATACGGAGCTAAAAAAAATACGTGGGCTATTGTCACTGGTGCATCAGATGGAATTGGCAAGGAGTACTCAAAGCTGTTAGCTAAGAAAGGGTTCAATTTGGTTTTGGTTTCGAGGACACAACAAAAGTTGGAGTTATTAGCTACCGAAATTGAGACCTCATTCAAGGTACAAACTAAAGTCGTTGCATTTGATGCTTCAGCAGATGAGACGTCAAACTATGAGCTCTTATCAGAATCTATTTCACAACTCCCTGTGACTATTCTTGTCAACAACGTCGGCCAATCTCATTCGATCCCAGTTCCATTCTTGGAAACAGAGGATAAGGAATTGAGGGACATTATTACCATCAATAATACTGCTACGCTTAAAATAACACAGGTAGTGGCACCCTTGATTTCTCAGACCGTCGCAAAGGATAAAACTCTTCGTGGTTTGATCTTGACGATGGGTTCCTTTGGTGGATTGCTCCCAACTCCTTACTTGGCTACGTATTCCGGATCAAAGGCATTTTTACAAGCCTGGTCAGCTGCATTGGCCGGAGAATTGGCATCTCAAAGAATTGATGTTGAGTTGGTCATTTCCTATTTGGTCGTTTCTGCTATGTCGAAAATTAGACGTTCCTCTGCAGCCATTCCTAGTCCTCAAAATTTTGTGGCTTCGGTGTTGAAATCAGTTGGTCGCCGTGGTGGCGCTCAGGAGAGGTATGCTACAAGTACCCCATTCTGGTCACACGCTCTTATGCACTTTGGAATCGAGAATACTGTCGGTGTATATTCGAAGTTGGCCAACAAATTAAATTTCAATATGCACAAGAGCATTCGTATTAGAGCTTTGAAAAAGAAAGCTAGGTCAGCAAAAACCGATTAATGTGTTCAGTTTCATTAGCTTTTGTGTTGAAGGGTTGAATAGTCCTATCTGTTAGCCGCATTTACGTAGGATGTTTATAGTAACTTTGATGTTAGATCGAGTTTTTCAATATTGTATTTGCACCCAATAAGTCAGGTGCTCTCTCACGTGATTAGAATATTCTAGAAGATTCTCGATGGTTTTTGACCTCTGGAGCTTATGATCGAATTAAATGATAAAGAGATGCTTTTAAGAGAGCAATTGTATAACATATAGATCTTTTCTTAAAAATAGATTGATTTAAAGTAGTCTCATTATAGAACTTCTCGCATAGAATATAAATAAGAGTTGGAGCTACAATGGTAAAGGAAACAAAACTTTATGATTTGCTTGGAGTATCACCTTCAGCATCAGAGACTGAGTTGAAAAAAGCATATAGAAAATCAGCATTAAAATACCATCCTGATAAGCCGACTGGTGATACTGAAAAATTTAAAGAGATATCTGAGGCTTTTGATATCTTATCGAATGCTGACAAGAGACAAGTGTACGATGACTATGGATTAGAAGCTGCTAGAGGTAATGCTCCGGCCGGAGGTAACCCTTTCGAATCAGCTGGTGCTGGTGCTGGCGGAGCAGGTGGAAGACCGGGCGGATTCCACTTCTCGACAGGTGGAGGTGGAGCTGGTGGATTCTCACAAGCTGATGCATTTAATATCTTCTCCCAGATGGGTGGCTTCGGTATGGGAGGTGGTGGTGGTGACGATGGATTTGGATTTGGTGGCAGCAGTTTCGGTGGAAGCGGATTTGGAGGCTCTGGACACTCGAACCATTTCGGAGGCTCTAGTGGATTTGGAGGTATGCCAGGTGGGTTCAGTGGTGGATCCTCTCGTTCCCGTCCCGAGCCTGATACTGTAACAATGCCATTACCAGTATCATTAGAAGATTTGTACCGTGGTGCAACAAAGAAGATGAAATTGAATAGAAAGAGTGCTTCAGGTTCTAAAGAGAGTAAGGTTATCGAAGTTAACATAAAACCTGGTTGGAAGGCTGGCACGAAGATCAATTTTGCTAACGAAGGTGACTATCAACCCGAATGTCACGCAAGACAGACGGTCCAATTTGTATTGGAGGAAAAGCCTCATCCTGTCTTCAAGAGAGAAGGCAACAATTTGAAAATGAACCTACCATTAACATTCAAGGAGTCCTTATGTGGTTTCAGCAAGGAAATATCCCTCATTGATGGTAGAAGAATACCGTTACACAGATCACAACCTGTTCAACCAAATACGTCAACCGTTTACCCAGGTTTGGGAATGCCCATCAGCAAGCTGCCCGGTCAAAAAGGTGATTTGGACGTTACTTTCAAGGTTGATTATCCGGTATCTTTAACCCCTGCCCAGAAGCAAGCCATTACTCAAAACTTTTAAACTTGATTATGGTCTCAATTAATATTCATAGCATCTCAATTAATAATACTCCCATTTACTTTACATTGAAGTAATGGGGTTCTTGTTCTCTACTATTTCAAAGTAAAAATGTAAGTAAATTAGTAATATATAACAAATTTAGTGAATATTAACATTATTGTGTAGTACTTTATCGAGATTTTAGATATTTAATCAAAAAAAATATATATATATTTAGTAAGAATACTCTAATATTACTTTAATTTATTGTGAGAGAAAGGCTTGTTCTAGAGTTCATCTATATCTACATGTCAGTAATCCTTGCTTCAGCAGGCTACGACCATACCATTCGTTTTTGGGATGCTTTAACTGGAGTTTGTTCTAGGACAATACAACACACTGACTCTCAAGTCAATAGGTTAAAGATTACATCAGACAAGAGGTACTTAGCAGCAGCAGGAAATCTCTATGTTAGATTGTATGACATAAGACAAACAGGAAGCTTTGGAAACACATCCCCTACTGCATCAAATACGAATTCGACGAATAATAGTAACAACAATGTGCCAGTTATGACTTTTGAAGGGCATACAAATAATGTGACATCATTAGCATTTCAGATTGAAAATAAGTGGATGGTGACGTCTCTGGAGGATGGAATGGTGAAGGTGTGGGATGTGAGGACACCTTCTGTTCAAAGAAATTATAAACACCATTGTCCTGTGAATGAAGTGGTGATACACCCGAATCAAGGCGAATTAATTAGCTGTGATCAAGAAGGTAACATCAGAATTTGGGACTTGGGCGAGAACCAATGTACTCATCATTTGATTCCCGAAGATGATATTCCTATCAACTCACTTTCTGTTGCTAGCGATGGATCGATGCTTGTGGCTGGAAATAATAAGGGCAATTGTTACGTTTGGCAAATGCAAAACCAAAAGGATATCACATCTCTAACACCTGTAACTAAATTCAGATCACACCTGAAATATATTACCCGGGTTGTATTACTGACCGATATGAAACACCTCGCGACATGCTCTGCTGATCATACAGCTAGGATATGGTCTACCGAACAGAATTTTAATTTAGAAACGACATTACAGGGTCATCAAAGATGGGTCTGGGACTGTGCTTTTAGTGCTGACAGTGCTTATTTGGTCACTGCATGCTCTGATCATTACGTTAGACTATGGGATTTGTCTAACAGTGAAACTGTCAGACAATATAACGGTCATCACAAAGGTGCTGTGTGTGTAGCATTGAACGATGTTTAAAGCATTATAATGAGGGCCCTCTACAATTTCTACTAATTAAAAATCTTACCAAATGATTACTGCATTGACTAATGAATTACTATAAAACGTCCAGAGCCATGACCTGACATGAAGTTTTGCTTGGAAGAAGGCGATAGTTTCGACGTGAAATGCCCTTCCTGAATTTTGTTCCTTTATGCTTCTGTGTCTATAATTGACAATTCTCTGATTGCCGTTTCCTGGTCTTATATATACATACAGCTTTATTAATGATGAATATGTTCATAATGACAGTGTTCTTTAACAGATCAAATCCAACATCTAACCATATGAGGTTCAATAATATAGACGCTAACCCATTCAAAAATTGCCAAGCCTCTAAAACATGACATCGTGATGTCTTTGTAATCAATTATAAACTTATTGGTGGCTAGCGAAGGACTCATGATACAATTAATTGCCCAGAATATCTATTAAAAACCATTTTTTTTATTTAGTCATAGAATATGCAAATATATAAAGATGATGATAAAATAAATTTTGTTTGAGATTAAACTACTACTAAAGATGTACTTTGATATCCATTGGACGTTTAATTGTCCTTCATATTCTCGTAGGTTAAAAGTTCATCAACGTCTTGGTCCTGTCTAAGGGAATCCAATCCATAAGCTCCATCCAAGAGATCAACAATAGACCGAAGGTTATCATTACCACTATCTGCTTGTGAGATCAGCGTATTCTCAGGGTCTATGGGAAGCGGCTCTGAAAAATCATCATTTACAGCCTCAAACTCATCTTGAAGGTAACCTCCCAATTCGAACATCCAATTGAAATATTCATCTATCCAACATTTGATGATCCACCAAGCCCCAAAGCTCTGTCCACTGATAAAACTAATTTCTCTCAAGAAAGTAGTCAGCAAATTCGTAGCAATTAAAACAAAAAGTCTAGGATTACAATTTGGAAACTTTCCAGGTATTTCAGAAAGAAAGCGTGCCGCAGGACCCAATGATCCATTGAATTCAGGATCCTTTGATAAAGGAGCAAATACATTTACGAAATCTCCCTGAATTTTATCCAATAAAGCTTCACAATTTCTTTGTGAAGAATGAACTTCCCGTAAGACAATTTCTCTCATATCCAACCTCATCCAATCATCAAGCATTGCTTGTTTTTCCGAGTCATTACTTAGTATTTTTAAAGCTGACTGACCTGTCTCGATTACTTTTATTAGCCTTGATAAGATGGAGATGAATTGCTGAGCAAGGTGGTACTTCACCATGATGAAACTTTTGGGCACTTTACTTTGTAACGATCCAATAAGCTTATCAACATATTGACTTGCTATGAGTTTCAATTGTTGGAGTACTTCATCAGGAACATTTTGAAGATGTAGCTTTGCAAGCATCTTAGCCATCGTTGTATACATTAATAAATCACATTCCATGATCCAACCAAGAACAGAATCGCTTGCATAAAGCTTGAAAACTGGTGCTGTTAGAATGTTGGTGAAGTTTGAAAAAGCAGAAAACAACTTTTTGACACGCATGTATCTAAGGCATTCGAACACAGAGGTACAATGAACTTTATATAACGAATACAACGTATCCGAAATATCATAGTCTGTGTCCGGTGGTAGATACGGGTATATAGAAGGAAGATTTAATGGCGATGTCATATTTTCCATGTTTAGCGAATGTTCAACCAAGTTGAAAAGATTTGGAATATACTTCAAGTTAGGAATAGCATACTTTTTTTCAAAATCAGTAGCAGTATATAGATTCAACAAACGTGAAATTGAACTTGGGCTTTTTATAGGAGGATTGTAGCTGCTTTGAGGACTTGCTCTCGATGAGTGTGGATTCGACAGGTTAGGATTAAACTGCTCGCCGACTAGCTTGATTCCACAATAGTGGTACTTAGACTGTCCTCTCATTCCGAGTCTTCGGGTGGTGAGATTGGAAAATAGTATTCTTATCAACTTCCCAAAACTTGCTGGTGATAAAGGAGTTAAGCTGTTATCAGCACAAACTTGAACATATCTAGCATATATTCTATTTCTTGGGATAACAGCAGTAGGTGAAGACTCGCAAGATTTAAGCAACCAAACCATTCCAAATATCTGTTTCTGTCTTTCTTTGTGGTTTTCCAATTGAGACAGATACTTGTTGTCATCTGGTGAATGCTCATTTTCTATCATTTTTACCCTTTGCGCAAGGTCAGATAATGGCAATTCTGAAGCTTTGAATGCTAGCTGCTTCAATTCCAAATCACCATCCTCACCGGGCATTAAAAAATCTGATTTTCTATGTCTTTTCCGTGAACTCTCAGTGTCATTAATATGAATATCTGACGATTCTATTCCACTATCATTTGATTTGGTCGATGATATAGAACTCATACGGTTATGCAATATATTTCCTGAACGGGTTGTCATTACATTCAGATGCTGTTGCGGCAGCTGTTGATGATGAACCGGGGACTGAAATGCATATTGGGTTGGTTGATATTGTATATGTTGAGATGGAGGTATATGGCCATGCATGCCAGACGGATCATGAGATTGCTGTGATTCTTCATTCAACAAGGGTCCCTGAAAATTGAAAGGATAGTGCTCTTGCGAGACACTTATATGTTGGCCCTTAGGTGGCTGTCGCTGCATAGGGTTTTGAGGATGCTGGTAATTAAAATTTGTAAAATTAATTGGAGGCCCTAATGCAGCCCTTTGATTTAGCTCATGCTTCTCAAATTCCCGGGAAGAAGCTGCACGCGATGGATGTGCTAATTCGTTAGCTTGTTGCTGCAAATTCTCAGATTGTTGCGGTATGTTCTGGGAATCAGGTATGAAATACTTGGTCTTATCTGGTTTATGATCCATAAAATGCTGTGTCGAACATATAATTGAAATATTGAATAATGTACTGGAAAAAAATCGAAGAAAACTTATACCCACCCCAAATTACCGTTAGTACCTGTGTGCCCTTAAAACACCTGTGCCCTTAAGAAGGTGTTCCCTTATCGCCTCGATCGCCCTTGATCTTCCACTTGAGAACTAAGCGGATATAATATTAAAAAAAAAAATTTCACTCAGGTGAGATATGATGGCTCTAAAGTTAAACTTGTAGTAATAACTTCAACCCTCCCTCTTTATTGGCGATTTTTTTAAAACTATAGCTAACTTTTATTATTTAACTTATGAAAATTTGTGGTGAGATTGGAAAATTTCAGCGGATCAATGATCAGAAGTCGACTGCATCCTAATAAAATTTTAAGGTGGGTCTTTTCTTTAAAGTGGAAGATTCTCTTACGCAATGGAAGGATTCTTAATTGATGTCTAAAGCGTAGGGAATTGTGACCCAACTATCGAAGTCTACGACTTTGGTTCTATATATATCTACAGGGTGATGCAGCCATTATCTTACCTGACACATTAATTACATAGAGATTCCTTTAACAAGTCTCTAGGTTATAGAGAATAGGATAGTTTAGTGGTCTTCGGATCTTTCCTTAGTTTATATTTTTACACTAATGTGTTATTTACTTAAATACCATAGCCCTCCCACGAAACAACTTTTACCTACGTGATCTGCGATGGGCAAGCTCGTAGTGCAAAATGGTCCCCACATCACAAGAAATGTCGAAATAATTATTCATTTCTGTCGGGATGCCAACAACTTTAACGTGTGGATTTTTATTACACTTCTTATGCTTTTAAGTCACCCACGACTAAGGGTATATTCCCACACAGATACGTTCCATTTACGTACCACTGTAGACTCAAGTCAAAGCTGATGTAAAAGTGTAGTTTCCTTATTGAGTATGTGCGGCTTTGACCGCGAAGCTCATCAAGTTTGTGAAAAAAAAAAAATAGTTGAAAGCACACATGTAAAATACCTGGTCAGCAAGTCTTTTGGAGTAATGGTTGTTTTAAATTCTAATCCAGAGATCCTCCTAAAGAAAAGGAAAGACAAGGACAGAAAGAGAATAGAGAAGCAGGATGAAGCTAAAAGAAAACAACTTGAGCGTAAAAAGAGAAATGATAAACGGGGCAAGAAATTCCTTAGAGCTGAGACTTTAGTATCAAACCATATATCCAGTGAATTAGAAAAAAAAAGAATCGAACATATAACAAAGTATGAGAACCAACATCGTGACGGGGGTTTATCTGAAAGAGAAGAAGACCCGAAGTTACTATTTTTGATTAGAGTGCCGGATCACACCAAAGGCTTGAAGATTCCTTCAAAGGCCGCAAAAGTATTGAAACTGTTGCGCTTGACGACTCCAAATACAGGAGTATTTGTCAAACTTACTCCAGGATCTTCTCTCTTGTTAAAATTGATTAGTCCTTATGTTGTCACAGGCTCTCCATCGTTGAGTTCTGTTCGTAAGCTTTTTCAAAAGAGAGCAAGCATCACAACTGTTGACGAGGAAACAAAATTACCCAAGACCGTCAAATTGGACAATAATCAGATCGTAGAAGATAAGTTTGGAGATGATCTAGGATTCGTATGCATTGAAGACCTCATACACGAAATTGTCACGTTAGGCGAAAATTTTAAGCCTATAACTTTTTGGATTAATCCATTTCAACTCAATCCACCTGTAAATGGATGGGGTCCACAATCAAAGCTTGCAAAAATACAATACGAAGAGGACCATAAAAAGAAAGTAAGCCTCGCTGGTAATGCAAAAGTTGATGAAATCGACATTGACAACTTTATTGATGAACACAATTGAACACACAAGAAATGGCAATTTTACTTTTTTTTTCAATCATTGTAGATCTTATCTATCACTAAATAGGATAATGCACATATAGATAAAGAAACGCTAATCTTGAGCTCGATGATGGACTGAACTCCTTCATTTACTTATTGGTAGTGCGCGGTTCAATTGTTTTTCTGAAATTGATACTTCTGCTCAGAGACTTTTGAGGTTTCGAAAATATAAGTGGGATTAATCTCTACGAATAGAACTTTTTTGGAATATTTTGGTGAAATAATTTTTATAAGTGGGATAGCTATGTACTGCATAAATATTTTGAAACTTCTTTGATAGAGAGCAGCACACTGCTTATCATCTTTAGAGTTATATATATTTGACAACAAAACGCATATTCTTTAAATAAAAATGAGTAACTATTCTGTTTATCAACAAACGACGGCACCCAAGGACCACACCTATAAACTTCTCCAATTGACTCCGGAATTGTTAACTTACATGAAAGATCACAGAAACAAAGAACTAGTGATAAAGGCTACAGAAGAATCAAAGAACCAGTTAGTATTATGCACAGAAGGTAAAACATGGAGGATACGGCAGATGAATCACTCTAATACTGTTATTTTGCTCGAAGACTCCAGAAGTCCTCGCGTGAAAAAAGAATTGGGTTCCGATTCTCTTCTTGGATTCTCTAGACTATCTTATGAATATGAGCTCTCTAAAACAATTGGCCAAATACATATAAATCACTTGCCAGTTTACGATGGCGAATCGGAAATTGAATCCAGTAGATCCGTCAATGATTTGCTTAATAATTCTCTCATATCGAGGGAGCAGTTTAATCATGAATGGCACCAGTTAGGTGGGTGTCAAATAAATGGAAAAGCCGTAATCTTGGCCCCAAAGTTGATTAGCGAAGGATTGTATCTATTGATTCAGATGATAATAGCCAATAATATTGATTACAAGAAAGATAGCGTCAATTTTGAAAGAATACTGTTGTTGATGCATAACCATAATAATAAATTCACAGATAGGATAACCTGGACTATTCTCAATAAATTTGGAACAAAAGAAGGTGATGGAAAATCCTTCAAGTTGGACAATAAGGCAATATCTGTATGGTTCGGTATTGAGTCTTTGCATAATACAAGCACTAAGCTACTTAGTACAAATGATTTCTTGCTAGCTTGGAAGACTTCATTACCTCCGTTTTACACGGTACCCATTGATATAAATTATTTAAGAGGCTACTTCTACAGGCCATCTGGTGACATTATACGGTTTCTAGATCCGATGTCACTTACTCAAGGAGATTTAAATAGTCGAATACAGGAGTTGTTTAAAGTCACAAACGAATGGGATTATGACGATTTCTACCCATTCATCTCCAGACTTATACCACCAGGAAAGAAGCCAGAGTCTTACGTATTAAAGTATGCCAAAAAGAAAAGGGTAGGAAAGAACAAATTTATTGTTTGTCCAAGATAGATTATGACTAACGAGTCAACGTACTGTATATACATTTAAACATTTCTCCGAACAACGGTTCTGATAATAAGTAGTATTACATTATAAGTAGCTTCAGTTGACAATTGGGAATGGATGATCGAAGATTTTTGATATCCTTAATTGTATGTTTAGATTATCAAAGCCTAGTTTACTTTTCAATTTAGAACTATGTACTAATATATTTAGAGTGGAGGATGTGCTGGAACATCAACAGACTTGGTGTTCTTCCCAATTGATACAATAAAGACTAGATTACAAGCCAAAGGGGGCTTCTTTGCTAACGGTGGTTGGAAAGGTATTTATAGAGGTTTGGGCTCATGCGTAGTCGCATCTGCACCGTCTGCATCGTTATTTTTTATCACTTACGACTCACTTAAAGCATACACCAAAGACTTTTTCCCGCTGCCTTCAATCAGTCATATGTTTTCTGCATCTTGTGGTGAAATTATGGCATGCTTAGTGAGAGTGCCAGCTGAAGTTATAAAGCAACGAACCCAGGCTGGTGTTTTGGGAGCTAATTCGAAATCAACTTCAATTTCAAATTTTCTTTATCTTATACAAAATAAAGGTGAGGAAGGAGTCCTAAGAGGCCTTTATAGGGGTTGGAATACTACTATTATGAGAGAGATTCCCTTCACCATGATACAATTTCCTTTGTACGAATGGTTGAAGAAGAGATGGAAGACTTCAGGGGATGCCTCTTTGGTTGAAGGTGCTATCTGTGGTTCGGTTGCCGGCTCCATTGCCGCTGCATGTACTACTCCCTTGGATGTGGTGAAGACAAGAATCATGCTCAGCAAGGACAGAATAGGTGTTATCTCCTTGATGAAGTCCATGATAAAAGAAGAAGGTTATTCTGTATTTCTTCATGGAATAGGTCCGAGAACTTGCTGGATTGGTGCAGGAGGTGCAATTTTCTTGGGATGTTATGAGTTACTTCATTCTAGTTTATCCTCTTACTATCATATAGAATCTTGACTTTTCAGTTGTTACCTGTGTCTCGGCCGTTAAGTCAATTTTAAGACTGTATATAACTTCAAGTGATGATTAATTAGACAAAAATATCTTATTAGATACAGAGAAGACTCATTAATTAAGCTGTTTACTTTATTTTTGTTTGCTGAATATAAATTGACAACATGCTCTCTAGACAATTTAAAAGCGTCCTTGCAGGATATAAGGGTTATTTAGGTACAAATTCGAGAGGTTTAGTTCGTTGTTTGTCCAACAGCAAATCTGGATTATTAGCCACTAATAGCGCAAGTGGAGGCATTCATACACCAACGGTTGTTGAGCCTCCTACTGCTGTGCCTCCAGAAGGATCATCCATCAGCTTAAAGAATGCATCTAGAGATGATTCGAAATTTGGTAGCCGGCCCATTTACTTAGATGTGCAGGCAACTACTCCTACTGACCCCCGAGTTTTGGATAAGATGTTAGAATTTTACACAGGTTTGTATGGAAATCCACATTCATCAACTCATGCTTATGGATGGGAAACAGACAAGGAAGTCGAGTTGGCACGTAAATATATTGCAGAGGTTGTTAATGCTGATCCCAAGGAGATTATTTTCACGTCAGGTGCCACCGAGAGTAACAATATGGCGATCAAAGGTGTCCCAAGATTCTATTCTAAAACCAAAAGACATATAATAACAACTCAAACTGAGCACAAATGTGTTCTTGATTCAGCAAGACACATGCAAGATGAAGGATTTGAAGTAACTTATTTGCCTGTTAATAGTGAGGGTTTGATAAGTTTGGAAGATTTAGAAAAAGCTATCCGTAAAGATACTGCGATTGTTTCTGTTATGGCGGTTAATAATGAGATTGGAGTTATTCAACCTATCAAAGAAATTGGAGAAATTTGCCGTAAGAATAAAGTTTTCTTCCATTGTGACGCAGCTCAAGCGTATGGTAAAATTAAAATGGATGTCAATGAAATGAAAATTGATTTAATGTCAATTTCCTCTCATAAGATATACGGTCCTAAGGGCATTGGTGCCTGTTACGTGAGAAGACGCCCAAGAGTTAGATTGGACCCGATCATCTCTGGCGGTGGCCAAGAAAGAGGACTTAGGTCTGGTACCTTGGCTCCACCATTAGTTGCCGGATTTGGAAAAGCTGCAAAGCTTATGATGGAGGAAGGCGAATATGATCAACAATATATTCATAAGCTCTCTGAAAAATTGAAAAATGGTTTGTTATCTATTCCTTCTACCCAACTTAATGGATGTACGAGTAACCCAGACGCACAATATGCTGGGTGTGTCAATGTTTCGTTTGCTTATATTGAGGGCGAATCTTTACTTATGGCATTAAAAGATATTGCTTTGTCGTCCGGATCAGCTTGTACTTCAGCATCGTTGGAGCCATCGTACGTTTTGCACGCTTTAGGTGCTGACGATGCCTTAGCTCACTCTTCCATTCGTTTTGGTATTGGTAGATTCACTACAGAAGCAGAAGTTGATTATGTTATCAATGCAATCCACGAGAGAGTTGAATTTTTGAGAAAAATGTCACCTTTGTGGGAAATGGTACAAGAAGGTATAGACTTGAATAGTATTGAGTGGAGTGGTCATTGATTGGTATTCTTATTTAGTGTTTTTATTGCTGCATTTAAGTATTGTCTACTGTAGTAATCATTAAATTTGTTTTATAGTCTTGAAAAAATAAAAAAATAAATACGTCCCGGCTCAGTCGCCGCTATCGGCATTTTCAAATTTTTCAACCTATATTGTCATAAGGTGTTTCCACTACTAAAGTTTCAATCTAGAAGTATTAATAAAGATCCAAAGATGTCTCAACCAGAGAATAAGAAGTCAAAAACATCTGTTACTAAGACGATTACAATATTGCCAGGTGATCATGTCGGTAGCGAAATTTGCAATGAAGCTGTAAAAGTCTTGAAGGCTATCGAGGAAAATACTCCATTTCAGAATATCAAATTTGATTTCAAGAATCACTTAATAGGAGGAGCAGCTATAGATGCTACCGGTAACCCTTTACCGGATGAAACTTTAGAAGCAGCTAAACACTCAGATGCTGTTCTTTTAGGAGCAGTAGGTGGCCCTAAATGGGGTACTGGTGCCGTGAGACCAGAACAGGGTTTATTAAAAATCAGGAAAGAATTGAACTTATATGCTAACTTGAGACCCTGTAACTTTGCTTCTGATGCATTGTTGGAATTGTCTCCTTTGAAGCTGAAAATTGTCAAGGGAACTAATTTTACAGTGGTTCGTGAATTAGTTGGTGGAATCTATTTTGGTGAAAGACAGGAGCAGTCGGAGTCTGACGATAAAGAGACTGCTTGGGATACTGAGAAATATACTGTAGCTGAGGTTTCTAGGATCACCAGGATGGCTGCCTTCATGGCTTTGCAACATAACCCGCCCTTACCAATTTGGTCTCTAGACAAGGCCAATGTGCTCGCTTCTTCCAGGTTATGGAGATCTACAGTTGAAAAGGTTATCAAAGAGGAATTCCCTCAGCTTCAGGTTCAACATCAGTTGATAGACTCTGCTGCTATGATATTAGTTCAAAGTCCATCTAAATTGAATGGTATAATCATCACTTCTAACATGTTTGGAGATATTATTTCCGACGAGGCATCAGTTATTCCAGGATCTTTGGGTTTGTTACCGTCTGCATCTTTAGCTTCATTGCCTGATACGAATTCTGCTTTTGGCTTGTACGAACCATGCCATGGCTCTGCACCAGATTTGCCTGCAAATAAGGTCAATCCTGTTGCCACGATCCTTTCTGTTGCCATGATGTTGAGATTATCTTTGGATTCACTCAAAGAAGCCGAAGCATTGGAAAGTGCAGTAGGTAAGGTGATTGATTCTGGAGTAAGAACGGCAGATTTGCTTGGAACGAACTCTACTACTGAAGTTGGTGATGCCATTTGCAATGCCGTAGTCGAAATCTTGAAAGACTCGGCAACCTAAAATTAAACTATAACGTTTTATATATTAGTATTTGGTTTGGCTTATTTAATTGAAACTAAGTTCTATTTTACCAGAAATAATGTCCAGTATGAAATTCAATGAATTATAGCTTGACGAGATTTCTTTTGACGCTCTTGTATTCTCTGAACGACCTATCTCATTCATCGCAACTGAAACAGGCACCTTGCCGATACAGGAATCATTTATAATAGTACCATCACTAGATGTAGAACTCAAATTTCCGATTGATCCCTGTTTAGTATAATTAGACTGTCGTTCGTGAAAATCATCTGTGGAATAAAATTCTTCATCCGAACTATTATTATGAAGTCTTAACGATTCACTCTTTATAGCGTTCTGGTTATCAGTGTATGCGCCACCTACTTCACGGCGTTGTGCGAGATCATTAGAGCTCTTGAAGTTGACGTCTATAAGTTTGCTGAAACTGTCAATTAAATTTAATGAAGACGACGAATCGGTGGAAGTATCATACTTAGATGTTTCTGAGGCAGTCTCTCTCAAATTGTATTTGGTTGCCTTGATATCAGCATCTGCGATGACAGGGCGTTGTGGTTCCACCTTCTCCTGCTCTGAAGTATTTTGTTCGATCTGTGAGTGAATACTAATCTTCGAGTCCTCCTTTGATATCAGAACCCAATTGGATTCACCATCATTGTAATAATTATCCGTATCGTAAGAATACAAGTGACATTTAAAATCATTTATATCCCATTTCTTTGCTGGGTCTAAAAGCCTTATTCCATCAACAAGAGATGCATCACTTTTGACACCTGCAGCATATACAACGCTGTTGTGGTCATTTAAAGTACGGTTGTTATAAGATTCTGTATCCGTCTGCTTATCTTCTTTTGCTGGGAACTCAAAATGAGAGTTTACTTCAATGGAATTAGTAGCATTATGGGTATGCGGCTGAATCGGAAGTTTCAATGGAGTCTCTGTTGCTTCAACAAATGAGGACTGTGGAAGCTCACTAGAGTCTTTCTGGGTACTCTCAACGAACGGTGTGGAAGACCTACTCAAACTAATAACGCTTTCACTTTTATTCAGGACATTATCCAAGGACTTCTTAATCAGTGTTTCCTTGTTTATATTCTTTCTGCTAATATCTTTATTCAAGAAAGTATTGTGAGAATGCATCTTTTTTGATTTAGAGCCTTTTATTTTATCCATCATTTTTTTGAAAAACGATCTTCTTTTCTTTGACTTAGGAGCCTCGTCTAAAGTATCATCGATCACAATATTTTCTGAGAAGGGAGTATATACTCTCTTTCGAGTTTCTGCATTCGGAGTTTTAATCTCTTTCGCTTGGTTTGCCAGTGAAGACATTCTTCTATTATCACCAGACTCAATTCCCTTGAGACTCTTATTTGCAAAATAAACCATGAAATACCTCAAGTCGAATTCATATCCTTGGAACAAAGATTCAGTCACAAAATTGAAAGTTGTGAACATATGTTGAATATTTGTAATAATAATATCCATGATGTAGCTTTGAAATGAAGTAGTGCTAATAACCTCATTGATCAAATAAGTTTGACTTTTATTAGAGCCCTTCAATTCGATATTGTTCTCATCTATTAAGGTCGCATGAAGTACCAAATACAACTCAGGGAACTCTTCGAAGTAGTTCTTTTGCTCAATAGAAGACGAGTTTAAGAAAAGTCCAAAGGGAGACTTGCAGCCTTCTTTCAGATAAGATGAAAGCTCTTGAGCACTGGCATAAATATCCATTTCTTCTGAAGTTGTCTTGAATAAATGGAATGGTTGCTTTTTGCTTAAAACCTTGGCTTTATTTATTGATTCAACAATTCTTCTTCCATTATATTGAATCTTGTCACCACTAAGAATTTCATAATTTTTAGAATGAAGAGGCTCAGTAAAGTTCCCTTGAAACCCATCATTAGACGTATTGAGAAACCTTAGATATTCACGTACCTGCGAAGATTTTTCTTCTATTCCATGATAATAACTTACCAAAATATCATTAACATCGCACCAGCAGCTTACTTGCATCGATGGTATCAGAGACAAAGCTGGCAAAGGCTTCTCATTCATTAAGGAATGCATCAAAACATCAGATATTAAAAGGGATTTAGATTGACTGCCATCATGTTCTTCGTAATATTTCTCTTCAAGAATAGTGAGAAATAAAACCTTATCTGAGAAGATAATCAACACATCTATGTTAAACATACTCCCATCATCCGGTTTTATATTTCTTAGTTCGTATATTGCCACAACCTTTCTCGAAATCCAGCCATATTGTAAGTCAGATGGCCATCTGGAAGCCATTTCTGTTAAAATCTTTCCCGTTGGTGTGAAGACTCGTCTATGGGTTTCCAAATTATCGAAAACCTGGCTATCTCCGCCGAAGGCATCGATGACCTTAATTGCTGAATCATAATACTCGTTAATATTCTCATTATCCTTATAAGCACCTTCAAAATTAGCTACCTTAACCCTTTCCTCCTCAATCGTTTCATAGAGCCTCTTAAGAATCAACTTCAATTTCGGTAATTCTAATCGAGATCCAGAGACAATGGAATCGATCTCTCTAGGTGAATACTCACCTTTGTTTATTTTCTGATTTTGAAATATCCGTTGATTATTTTTATTGTAAAACTTATTCAACCTTTGCGTGAAATGCTTCAAATTTGCTTCATGTCGGATAAAGGCCTTATAGAAATAAGGTATTATCATTCCCATGACCTTAAGAACTTCTACATAGCCAAATTTTGTAGCCCTCGACAATGCATCATGCAATATGCAATTAATCCTAGTAATTTCATCAATTGTGGGAGGGAATATTTTGTTAAGCTTTGCGATTCCAACAGTAGTTTGGGAATCTAAGACTTGTGCTCGCAATGGCACAATAAAGTTTTGAAGCAAATTAACAAGATTCATTGTATAATTAGTTTGGACGTGAACCAATTCATCAATAACCGCCTCAATTTCCTTGTTGAAGCCTAACTGAGGAGGAACATAATCTACCTTATTCGGAGGATTATATCGAACATCCATACTTTCAGGTGAATATTCAAGAAGTGGGTCAAATAATTGTTCAATTTGATCACCAAAAAGATAAACTAGTTTGTTATTACTTTCTATTATATTTTTATCGCTTCCCTGGTTGACATATATAACATCTATCAATTGGGAGGAAATTGAATGCGATTGCAAAAGCCCCATCTCTAATAGCTTCTTGCCCAATGCAAGAGGGCTCTTAGTTGTCAAAAGCTCCATGGAATTGGCTAAACTTCCTGCATCTGTCTCATCCAAATGCAGAGATGCTTTATTAGAATGATTAACCACAACATTATAATTCTTTAAATTTGAAATTGCCAAAGCTCTTCTGACGTTGGAATCCTTGTATTCGGGTGAAAGATTCTCACAACTAGGCCAAAACCTAGATTTCGGATCTAATAAAAGGTTTTCATAGTAAGAAACTGCGAACCGAGTTATTGATATAGTGTTTATTTTCTTAGTGTCTTCGTTCTCAAATACCAATGTCACTTCAGTACCTAACACAGATTGGTCGTAACCGGCAAAAAATGCCGCTCTTTCAAAGAGCTTCATCCATTCATTTATCAGCATATCATAGTCGCAATTTTCAGAGAACTGGCCAAAAAGGGGACTGATTTGTACCAGTTTACACTGTTCGGGTGTTTTACAGTCATCGTCAGTTGTAGGTGAATATTTATTTCCTTCATAATCAGCTGAAGCATATCGCTGATAAAGCCGCATCTTTCTAGATAAGAGACGAAATGAAAACGTCAAATCCTACATTAACTGAAATTAACCTGTTTATGTATGTCTCAACAGCTCTGATAATGAAGTTCAAATTAGGAAACATAAACAGAGTCACGTGTCTGCGAAGGTGATTAGTTTGGGGTCCCTTGGAACACCATCGTGGTCAATGTCATTAGCATGAAGTTGAGACCGGGTGTATTGGGACCTTGCTTCATCAAAACTGAGTCCACTTTTATTCATTATTTCTTTAATACTTTCTTTCGCTTTTCTGTCAAGTCCCTTTCTCAGGTCTTCATTGGCAATATTAGAGCTGATATCAAAGGTATTGCTGGTGAGCCCTTGTTCAAGATCCGCATCAAAGCTTTCCAGCCTTCTGCATCGACAGCATTCTTTGAACATCCTTGGTATAAATTTCAGACTTGCCGTTTTTATCCTATGTCTTAAATGAAAGGCAAGGAGTCCTACTAAAATAAGTAATAATAGTCCTACATGATGAGGCTCAATTGAGCTCTTTTCCTCCTCTGTTGAAGTTTCTTTCATGAATAGCTTTGTTGATGATACGTTGAAGTTGAAGTCCAATTACCTCTTGTTGTAGCACCAATGTTTGAACTTTGTAGTAGAATCAACTCCTTAAATTTCTAATATACTGATTATGTAATCTTAGTCACAGCTTGCTTAGAAAGGGTTTCCCTGAGCCGATTACGGTTGAATATAAAAGTGGAAAAATTATACGAATGACGATTTGAGTCTTAGAGAGTTCTACAGGTATAACCTTTCTATATCCAAACATTTTATTAATTTTACAATTCCAATGTCTAGTCAACAGAGCCAACTTTTTGAGAGATTTTGCTTAGCATTTGATCTTAATTATTCTTTTTTAGCATAGGAAATGGCTAAATCTCTACCTCCGTAATTATAATTATTCAAATTCTCAATAGCTAGGTCGGCTAACTCTTCAGCTTCAAACTGAACTACAGCACTACCACTTGCTTTGCCTTGTGCATTGTATTGAATCTCAGCTTGAGAAACCTTTCCGATGGTTTCAAAAAGTTCGTACAAGTCCTCAACATTGGTGACAAAAGGTAAATTAGAAACAAATATTGTATTAGATCTTTCACCGTCTCCCACGACACCCTCAGTAAATTCACTGTTAACTTTTCTTGGTTCTGTCGGGGCGGATACATTTTCTTGGTTTTGAGTTCTACCAGGGCGAGTATCAAGTCTTCTCCCATCAAGATCATAACCTTGAAACATTTCCACAGCCTTCGTAGCTTCTTCTTCTGTATTAAAAACAACTGTTCCGAATCCTCTTGATTTACCCCAGTTATCGGTTCTAATATCTGCTCTAACGACTTCTCCTGCCTCTCTCATCAAGTCTTTCAATGCTTGCCAATTGACCGAAAACGGTAGATTTCCAACAAATATCTCAGTGCCAGGCTTGGGGGCTGACTGAGGGCCCCTTTCTTTGCCAAAACTCTTCCTCTCATATCTATCGTAACCACCGGCATTCTCGTTTCCGCTGTACCTTTGGTTCGACGATTTGGCAAAGTAATCTCTCTTCTTTTCACCTGGTGGAGGATAATCTTGTCTAACGAATATTTCTCTTCCGTTATAATCATAGTGATCATATTTCGAAATGGCTTTATGGACATCATCCTTCTTTGAAAATTCAACAGTTGCCATTCCGCGAGATTGACCCCTATTCGTCACTATATCGGCTCTTACAACGTTGAATCCATCATCGAATAGACTTTCGATTTCCTTTGACGTGCAGTCGAAAGGAATATTACCAATGAAAATTGAGTTGTCATAATTCCGTTCAGTTTTTGAGCGGTATTCATCAGGCCCACCTGAGTAGTTTCCATATGACCTTCTTGAACCGTAGTCTCTAGAAGAGCCGTAGTCTCTCGAGGATCCACGGCTGCCTCCTCTTCCTCTTCCTCTACCTCTTTCTCTGCTCGAAAAACCATAACCACCTCTCGACCTACCACCTCTACGGTCACGATAATTGGATTTCGAATGAGAATCTTCTGAGATTTCCTTACCATTAGTGTCACCTCTCTCCATCGGAGAGCGAGATCTATCTCTCACTGGTGAACGTGAACGATCCTATTGCATTAGAAATCAATTTCCAAAATTATTCATAGTCTTATTGAATCAAAAAATGAGAAGAGCAAATTAAAGCTTCCATCGATGACTTAACGTCCTAATCTGCCTACAAAAATAAGCATCATGGTTGCCGAGGTTATGATTGGTGTCATTGGAGCCTATTTTAAAGTCTTCGATAGCCAGTATCCTCACAAGTTCAATTCAATCACATTACTAAAACCGAAGTTTTAGAAAAGGATATACTCACTCTTGAATAATCATCAATATCCATATCCTCCATCTTGACAGAGATGGAATCCTCTACTTTCTTTCTACAATAAAATAAAAAACAGAAATGGTGAAGCCATTTGAAGTTTTAATCTGAACGTTTTTTGTTATCCACATATACACGACCTTGCGGAACGGCTACTTACAGCGACTTATCAGGAAATGGTAGAACGAGTCTACGTTCAACTTCAGTTTCCTTGTTGACTTCTTCTTCTCCATCAAACTTGAGCCTAACTGTACCGTCTTTTTTTGAGCCCATTACAACAGCTGGATAAAATGTTGTAGTCTCAGGATATCTAGCCAATACTTTTGTGCCAAAAGGATAGTTCACTAATTCGGTCAGAACTGGGGGAATGAGAAGTATTTCTTTATAGTTTGCCTTAAATGTTTGACCTGGGTTGTTATTCTCGTCAGGCTCGGGGTCCCTTATTTCAAATTTCAACCCATCTCCAATGACTTTCATGACCTCACACTGTATCCATTCTTCGAAATGTCTATTCTTCAATTTATATGCAACTTCAGACCCCACTTCTATAGGCTCTGTGGGATTGTACTTTGAAGTATAATATGCTCTTCCTTTTGAGTTCCTCTTTGGGTTGCTCTTGCCGTTGTATTTGCTGCTTGTTGCGGATTTCGAAGGTGGAGATGTCGATGCTTGGGCTTGTAAATGGCTTATTAATCTTTGTAGGTTTTTCTGAGTGGTTTCAACTAGGTTCTTTCCTGTAGTTATATTGGCCTTATGATCTCGTATTTCATTCGTGAGTTTATCCAATTCCTCTTCTGATAACTCTTTCAATGCCTTTCTCGTATATTTATCGTAATCAGAATCAAATGGAACTGATTCGTTTGTATGGCATATATCCTGCAACGATGCTATTACGATATCCCAGTGCCCTTCTGTTTCGTTGGACAGCATCTCCAGAATTTTCTGTATTGATCTTGAGCCTTTTCTTGTCAATAAACAGCTTCGAGCTACCTAATCAGATATAAAGACTGGGTAGTGTACGATTAATTTGTATTGCACAGTTAAATATACAGCATAGAAATCAACTCAGCTAAATAACAGGGAAACATATTGATTTGAAGAAACTTGATAATAATAATGCAATGAATTTTGAGGACTCTTGTCAGGCGTTGTCGTCTACATTTGAGCTTTTGACACATATCCAGCAAGTTAAATTCAATAAGCTGAAAAAATCTATTTATGGATTATCATATGATTATGTGGTATGGACTTGGTTATCATTTTTCACATCTGTGATATCATCTATAAACTTCTATATAAACCCAGAGGTCATACGACAATACCGTAACAGATTTCCTGTTCATCCTGAAGTAATTGTATCATTTCCTATCTTGATTATTGATATGATTGGAACGGTTGTTGTTAGTGGTTTACTAGTTCAACTATTCGTTATATATAATAGAACTAGAAGTGTTAATCAAGGAGTAAGTGGATTAACGAAATGCATACTAACCTTGCTCATTATCATATTCCTTTGGAGTACTAAATGTTACATCATGGAACAAAAGGCGCTATTCCTTTTGGACATTATCGATTTTCTTTGGTTTGTAAGTAAATTCACTCTCATAATCAGATACATTCCACAAATATTCATGAACTGGTTTGATTCATGTGTCGTTGGTCATAGCGATTCCTTTTTGGCGTTTCAATCGATCTCATTGTTGTGTCTTGCATTTAGCAAATTTGCTTTAATATCTGAAGATTGGTTCAATATACCGGTGAATTATAACACCTGGAGTTACTTGGTCAGCGGGTCAGTTTGCCTACTTATACTTTTTTTGCAAGAAAGATTTCTATATCACGGAAAGAAACCATCACTAGACTTGATGTATATCGCAAGTGAAACTTTTCACGTTTAAAAGAGTCACCGGACATTCAGTTTCTCATCAAGTAATCGGCATTTAGTATTCTGCATTTATTATTTAAATCTAGTAATCATAATAATATGAATTGATAATATAATAATAATAATAATAATAATAATAATAATAATAATAATAATAATAATGATATAGTAATAATAATATTGATGATGATGTATAGAATACTAAAAGTAGTGATGATCAAAATAATAAAAGGTAATGGCCACTATTACTATTGTTTTGGACTATAGCTTGTCGCCTATTACCTTGACTGCCAAATGGACTCCGTAACTAATTTTTCTATTCTCATCTATGGCATATTTAGGTCCCTCATTTCTGTGAGGCCCATTCTCTTCTCCTGACTCAGACTGAGGCAACGGCTTAGGCTCAAAATCACTTAATTTTAACTCTTCCACATCTATCATTAAATGTTCTATTTCTTTCTTCATGTCCAACTTCAAGTTTTCATCTTTAGTGATAATTATGGCATTGCTCTCTAGATCCAACAGATAAGACCTTTTCGTATAATTCGATGATCCAATAACGGTAATTGAAGGTTCGTCTTCTTCGGGGACTGTAATCCAAATACCTTTTGCGTGATAAGACCACCCGCCAACAGTATTGACAACTCCCTTTTTCCATTCATATAATCTGATTAGAGATTCTTTTCCTCTTCGAGAAACTTCTTCTAAGAATTTCTTAGCAAGTAACAAATAGGCCTCAGGAATGTAATAAGAGACGCCCCTAGACTTATAAAATGAATTGGCTTGTGCCGAAGCGGTGATCACCACACCCTTTGCGGCACCATTGATTAGCCTCTCTTGAATTTCCGCCAACATGTTGAAATATCCTGCAGTGAACCACCATTTTATCTTAGGAGAGTCCAAATAAGAAAGAACTCTTAATACAGCTGGTTTTTCAGTAGACGTATCATTCTGCGGATGTAACAATGGTGTAAACTGTGACACTGGGTATACAATAGTATCAAACTCGTCTGTGTCCTTAAATTCATCAAAAGAAGTAAGTCTATGTTGCTTCAATAATGGCTCCAATAAGAATGAAGAGTCACTTATGAACCTTTGAACATTAATGTGAGGCTCACAAGATTTATTGGAAGTTGGCCAACTTAACCGGAAACCCTGTTCTTGTTTAGTTGAAGTCAAGACTTGATACGAAAGCGATGAAATTGCACTTTGTATATCAAAGTAATAATCAGTTAAGGCCTTGCTCTTCAAAATGTAGTATCTATCCTGTCTATCAGTGAAATAATCTTCAGATAAATTGGCTCCAGTCATGAGAATTTCATCATCTATGCCGTATAATTTCATGTGTTGTAGCCCCCAACTTTCGTTAACTCTCTTCGGTGTGAAACTCTTTTTGAAACCATTTAAATGAGGTGTATGATACATACGAACATCAATTCTGTGTTTTCCAAATTTCTCTACTAGAGGAACCAATAAGCTAGCAGAACAAAGAGATTCAGGGGCTTCTCTCGTACCTCTTAATGCATCTGTTAAAATGTAAACCTTCAAGTCTTCATTTGTTTCTAGGGCTTTAGAGATGTGATCTACTAAATCCTGTTGTCCTCTCCCAATATATAAGGAGCTCAAGAATACCCTTGACTTCGCCAGATCGATCATCAGTTTCAACGTTGCATAGAAGTCTCTCGGATCCATCAATATCTTTATGTCTCCTTTTCGTAAAGTGAATCGAGGTGCAATAGCATCTAGCTGTTGAAATATTGTCTTGAGCCTGGGGTGGAACCCATCCGCCACCTTCGATGATATTATAGGATTGTTCGTCGAGTAACTTCTAGTGTTGTTATAAGGCTGCCTTGAGAACAAGTAGTTATATATGGACAGGAGCATACCAATAGATGACTTTGAATATACTCTTTTAACTACCTGTAGCATATGATTATAAAAAAGACAGAGTGAAAATACCCTAGCCAGTACTGATAAGAGATCAGTTTAAAAAAACACTCTTAATTTCCGTCTCCGTGTCGTTTGAAAAAGACTACTAATGACAGAACTCAAAATATTTTTATGATCAAGTAAAGGGTCAAGCTATTCACACGACAAGTATCTTATTCTTGCTGATCTGTTTTTTTTTTTTGGTTTGTTTGTTAACGTTCACTTACAGTTTTCGAGATTAAAACTTCAGAAAATTACTATACTGGGCAATATTAACAGAAGGTAGTGTATAATAAAGAAAGAATGCTATTTACAAGATCTATGATTAAGCGAGGGGAGACTACAACCTGGACGTCTAAGTGGCTTAAGTAGTCTAAGTGGCTTGAGTAGGAGTAGACTCTGTTAGGAGAAATTTCTGGATTAATCACAGGGAAATTGGAGTCTATGATCAGAATGAGGAAATAATGAGATTAGGAAGTTTTTCAATTGAGAAATCAGCGGGGTTTTGCTCCCACAGCCTTAATTAGAAGGACATCGTTATCCTCCACTAGATATGCCTTCCCGTACTTGAGCTGTTTACCTGATTTTTTGAGGTTTGATTCGTTTAATGGCGGAGATTCTACGAGTAGGTCATCATACTTATAGACCTGAGCAGAGATGAAATTCTTCTCCAAATCTGTATGGATGACACCAGCTGCTGCTGCTGCAGTGGATCCCTCTCTTAAGGACCATTGCCTAGTCTCGATGGGACCACAAGTGTAGAAAGAAATGATGTGCAATGCTCTTCTGATCAGATTTACTATAGTTGGAATAGCACTCTTCTTGGATCTCTCGTTAGATGCAATGCTCTCATGTGAGGCAGAAAATAATACCAAAGTATCTTTGGGACTATTTTCCTTTATCCACTTAGTTACGTCGTCTTTAAATTCGTTTCGATCGTGCAAATAGTCATCCTCGTTTACATTCATCAATATGATAGTGGGCTTCGCTGTCAAGAAGTTGAAGGTGTTTATGATGGCAATCTCTTCATCTGACCATTCACCTTCTGAGATCTTCGTGCCATTGTATAATAGGTCTTGTACTTTATCCAATGTGTCTAGTTCGAAGTGAACTTTACCTTTGTCGACGTAAGGTCTCTTAAGGGATTTTTTTGATATTTCCACTCCAGTTTCAACAAATTCCAAGTCTTTGAGAATCAACTCATCGTTAACGATTACCAAATCTCTGATAGGGTCTACTTTGTTTTCTTCAATGTGAATGATTTCGTCATTTCTGAACCCCCTTACAACATGTAATATACCATCAACTTGTCTGATATCCGATAAAAACTTATTTCCTAGGCCCTCACCACTTGATGCATTTTTGGTCAAGCCAGCTATGTCAAAGATTGTTAATGGAGAAGGAATTTTTTTTTTTGATGAGTATAACTCAGATAAGAAATTTAATTGTTCCGATTCAACTATGGCTTGTGATTTTTCGGGCAGTATGGTAGCAAAAGGATAGTTTGCTGGATTTCCCAAGGTTGTATTGGTGATTGCCTGGAAGAGAGTACTTTTTCCAACGTTAGCTAGGCCAACAATTCCCACTGAAAGGTTATTACTGGGCCTACCTAAATACTTAGTAGGTACTGTTTGCAAGGCTTGTTTACTTGCATGATGTCTCAAGGCGGTGCTGAAACATCTTACAAGTGAACTCATTGATCCTTACAGGTGTTTAATATTATTCAATATACAAGAATTTTTTTTTGTGAAAAAAAGTTGAAGCAAACCGATTATTTGGATCGAAGGTAATATTAGTATACAAATTATAGTATTGAAACTCGATAGATCTAATTAAAAGAAAAATTAACTGCTTTTTTCACCGTTTTTCAGAGGACAGTAAAATATTAAGCTATATTGCATTCCATGTGAAAATGAAAATATGACGTATGATTATGAATGTTAAAAAATCGATGCCCGATTTGTGAAATCCTCGATTAAAGGCCCATGTTGTAGGCATACTTGGATTTCTCTCTGATCTTTGCACCATATTTGTAGAATAAAAATGGTACCGGAATTAAAACAACTGATACACAGCCCATTAAAGTCGAAGCCCATTTTATGTGCATATTAACGAACATTTGACGTGCAAATAATGGGAACGCAGCGCCAAAAGCAGATCTCAAAAACGCATTTCCGGCTAAAGCAGAAGCTGCAACATACAAGTAAACATCAATAATGTAGGTGATACAAGGTAAGAAAATTAAAATCAAACCTGCACCAATGAAAGAAGACCCAATGGTTGGAACAATCCAATGTATATGTTCGGGGTAATCTCCAGTCCATCCCAACCAGAACAAACCAATCGAAAACAAAAAGGAGCCAACCATCATGCCCGGTAATCTCTCTTCAGGTCTTATTTTTCCATCTCTCATCATAATTTTATAGTATCTATTCTCGAATAAGATAATTATAATGCCACCAATCCAGACTCCAATAAACATTGATATATAAGGCAATTCCGCGACACCTTGACTGAAGCGATAGTTTACCCCAAATACAAGTGGGACAGCTGTCAAAAACAAGTATAACAATCCATAAACAAAAGCATTGTATAATGTAATCAAAAACAAAATTGGCTCCACAAATAACATCTTTAACGGTCTGCTAATGTTATTTTCAACAATCTCTTTAAAACTCAACGATATTTCTTCGTGAGCGGCATGGATGGCTCTGTTCCCTGTTCTTCTTCTGATTTCTTCTGCTCTGCGCACTAAAATTAATGGGTGATGAGTTTCATCAAGCAAGAAAGTAACTAAAATAAGAGCTACCACTCCAACCAATGCAGTGAAGTAAGAAGTCCATCTCCAACCTAAATGCGGGTTTTTTACGGTAAATCCACCAAAAATTGGTGCAAGCATTGGCCCACCAAACAAGACGGCACCAAAGCCTGCCATTGCTTTGCCTCTACTAGCAGCTCTGAAAAGATCCGCTGTTACAGCAGGACACACCACGAGGGGAGAGGCACCAACGAATCCTGAAAAAAATCTGCAAATCATTATGGTCTGAATATCTTTGGCTGTAGCTACTGCAAAACAGAAACATACATAACCAAACATAGAACAGAAAAGTACGATTCTTCTGCCAAAAAGTTCTGAAAGAGGACCCCATATAATTGGTCCCGATGCAAAGCCGAAGACGAACAAAGATGTCCCTAGAGTTGCAACTGTCCACCCAACATGAAAAATTTCTTCAACATGCGCACTGCTTTGAGAAAACATCGCCGAACCCAAAGAAACTGCCAAAGCAGTTACGATCACTACAAAGCAATTGACAACCTTTTTCTTCATGGACCAATTCGGAGGAAACATAGGGTCATCTGGTCCATCGAATATGACTAAGTAATCATCTTTTTCGGCTGGTGGAGGAGGGGGGTAATCACGACCTTTACCCATAGACGGAATTGGCTTATCTGACCTGCTGGCTTTTTCAAGTAGCTCCTCAGAGCACGTAAGTTTCCTACTCACTGTTCTAGATGCAATTAAATTAGAATCTTCATCACCGTCAGTAAGCTCTCCTGCTCCTGATCTTTCCAAATCTTGTCCATCAAAAGGTTTCGGTTCTCCACCCTCGTGCTTTATGTTTGAGTTAGCCGTATGAGTGCTCGACGAGGAGTCGTTACTCTCCGACGATTGTGTGTTGATTGGACCTTCTGCTGTTCCTTGTGTAGACATTGTAGCAAAAACAAAAAAGGTTACAAGTGCAAAAGCGAGCAATATTCAGAAGAGCCGAAAGGGTATTTAAATATTAAAGTCCCCATCGCAAGTAAAATACAATAAGCACCCGGATGGAAACAGAAAAAAAAAAACATCTATCCCGGTTACCGCCACCCCATGTCGGTAATATTTGCTTATGCTTTTAAAAAACTATCAGAATTTGGAATTAATTCCGAGAAGGCGCATACATATAAAGTGTTAACACCGAGAGATAGTTCGGCTGAAAATTTACAGAAAAAAGTGTTTCTATCGTGCCGACGAAAACATTACCAAGGTTCAATTGATTTATAACTTGTTCAGGACTTATACATTTCATGTTCATGGCTTATATATTTCATCACTACATAAGATAATATGGCTAATAAAAAAATCCACAGCCTTGTTATTTTGAGTGAAGCTTAGTTTCTTTAACAACCGTGTACAATATGTTAAACTAAAACAGAAGTTAGGTTAACACATCAGCATCTGAGTCCATCTAATTGATTTGTATCGATAATTCACTCTTTTTTTTTTTGATTTTGACCATAACATTCATTTCAAAGAATTTCGAGATGATTTCTGTTTAAGATCCTTCTTAATAATAAACAATCCGAGATTGAAATCTTGTGTACTTAAATCTTGTGTACTTAGGTAAGGTTCCTCTTCGAACAAATAAAATACAAATCACATTAGCTTATCAAGCTCACGCGCCTTCTGAGCCTTTTTTTTACTTTTCATCGCTTAAAATTGAGTAAGCAATCTCTCTATATGAGACCTTGACTAGCATGATAAATACGAGTTTACAAAGAGACTTCTTGGACTTCAATCACAATTAAAATGAAAGACCGAGGTGATATACAACACTTATTTACTTGACTAGCTGCAACATCCAGAAAAGAAATTATCTTATGCAGGCATGCATATGAACATACACCGTTTTGAAAATCACTCCGAACCCGACGGTTTCTTTAAATAAGTCAATTGTGAAGATACTTTACCAAAAAATGAATTTCAGTTTCCAAGGTCTTACTTAAATAATACTTATGCTTCACTGTCTCATTTTAATTCGTCCAATGTAATCCTCACTCATTTTCAAAAGACGAGTATTGATATTATGCAGACTTCAACTTAAGAGATACCCACTTTAATTATTTTGCTCCTTTAGTTTTTAAAGTAATAGCTCAGGACTATTGGTAAATATCCTACTCTATTTATACACAGCTATTCCAGACATATTTGTTATTCTGAATCAATAAAATGTGCATGTAGAATATGAGAGCTACGTAAGTAAATAGTTGCTTAGAATTACAATAAGTCGCAAAAATTTACATGAATAACACAATTTTATTACAGATATTTTAATAGTATGAAAAATTGAAATAAGCAGTGAGAATAGACTTAATGAAGCTTCAGTGCGACTTTTCAAAACTTATAGATAGCTTTAAAAAATCCTTCTTCTCATTCTCTTCGAACTCTCTGCGAACGAGGTCTTCGTGACGAGATAAAAAGTTCAAAAAAATTTTGAAATACGAAAGATAGCTTGGAACAGTGTTCTATGGTGAGTAAGGTTATTTACTACTCTGCTTAGTTTTTCAGAAATTCATCCATGCTCCTTTATCAAGAATTACGTTAATGTTTGGATTATCACTCGAATTTGTGTAACTTCCCCATATTTGAGCGTTCTAGTGAAATTCATTATTATATTCACATGAACGACAAGGTCAAGTTAATTAAGGATGCTGAAAACAGACGATTTCCTTTATGTTTCGTTTGAACCATCAGACACTAAATTATTGACTTCAGTTCCAAACACGCAACTTTTATCTGATTACCCCCTTTTGACGTCAGCATTGTCAAACATATTTCCATACTTACTACTCATAGATAATTTCCTAGAGGTCATAACATGGACAAATGAGGATCCTTACCAAAATTTTTTACTTGCAGTGGTTTATTCGGTTCTAGTAATGTATTGGCATACGATCGGAGGAGTTGCTTTGCCATTACTCATGGCCGTTTCATTTTCATGTGTGGTGTGGTCAGTTAGCTCAGTGATATACGATTCAACGTTCGATGAAAAGCCAACTGTGGACGAAGTCTTGCATACACTTCATAATATTACAGTTAGGTGCGAAATGCTTTTCAGGCCTGTTCAGCATTTTGATCTCAAAAAGAAGAACTTCGTTACTGCTTTTTTGATGGCGACTTTGTTAACACCTCTACATTTACTTGTGATTAAGACATTTTTAGGTCCCCAGAAGTACTTTTGGATTTTAGGTTTATTCTTTTTTACATACCACTCGCCTTGGTCCTTCTCTGCTAGAAGGCTTCTTTGGAGATCTGTTTATATCAGGATTATTGCGTTCTACATTACTGGTTTGGACATTAAATTAGATAGGCGGAAACCTAAATTTGAAAATGATGCATCTCCAGGAGTCCATAGCGCATATATAAGCGACGGAGACGAATATGGAAGGACACCTTTATTATCAGACTTCAAGATTACTAAAAAGTCAAAGACTTCTGCTACTCAATTGAAACAAGTTGTACGTTTCGAAGTCTTGGAAAATGAGAGGAGATGGCTAGGAATAGGGTGGTCTAAAATTTTATTTCCGAGCGAACGCTCCAATTATTGCTCTGAAAATTCTATGCTACCGTCTCCTCCCATTTCTGATGATTATCCCTTCCCAGTTTTTGAGAATGACTTGTATTCTTACCTGTGGGAATGGGTAGACCTGCAATGGAAATTGGATAAGGAATTTGATAAGGGAAGAGATCCAGAAGGATGGGTATACTCTGACAGTAACTGGACGAACCAAAGCTTTAAAGATGGATTTTCGAAATATACCAGATCACGGAAATGGATCAGGCACGCCAACTTAACTATAGATAAACAGGACATCGTTTACGATGAATGAAAACTTATTACGAAGTAGTATATCACTCTGGTATTGATTATTTAAATGTTATAATATTCTTTTAAATAATGAAACCTACGATTTTAGCTCGTTTATGATAGATGGAATAAAAAATATTACACAATATCGTTCGGGACATGAGTATCATATAATTAGAAATTTTTTTTTTTTTTTTTTTAAATCTTTTTTAAGGATTCCTTCTAAATTTTTTAATATTCTGTTTAGCATTGTGTTAAAATGAATTCTATAGAAGGAGAATTACATAGAATTCCAAAGAAATACATCAATCCTTTAGAGCCTAGGGGAAAAGGCGAGGGCTTGAGAGTAAATGGAAAAGAATGGAAAATCCAGAAAGATGCATTTAGGGGGAAGAATACTGGTACAAAGAAACAGAGTAGCTGGGCAAAAAGGGAGGAAATGAAGCTTCAAGAAAAGCAATTCAAAGATCGATTGAACAATTTGAAACAAGAAAAAGTGAACGAGAGAGATAACAAGATTGCTGAAAGCAAAAGAAGAAGAGAGATAAAAGAAGAAAAGGAAAGGTACGAGAGAATTGCTTTAAAGATGCATGCGAAGAAAGTCGAGAGAATGAGAAAAAGGGAGAAGAGAAACAAGATGCTCAAAGAGCGCTAGTTTTTCTATTTTATTTTACAACCTTTCGGACATTCAATTCTTTTAATTTTGAACTTTTAAAGATGCAGAACAAGTGAAACATATATTGAGTACATGAGAAGATAATGGGAAAGCATATTTTAATGCTTGATCTTTCTCAGCTTGTTCTTTCATTATTTAAGGAATACTAATATATCAGCTCAGTTTTTGCTCATCTCGAGGGACAGTTGCGATTACCCGGATTGTTTTACTTTGTATATAAGGAACCCGTGCCCCCCTTGAAATTTTCATTCATAGTATAGTGCGCACGGTCGATTTTGTGTCACGTTTTTATTTTATTAGAGGGAGAGATACATATTAGTGAGTTCTACAAAGAATTCGAGAACTCAGAAGCTGATATATAGTCGCAGCTCATTGTATAATAAAAGTATAATTCACATTTATCACGCTTTGGGATACATTTGGTTGTTTATCTCAATAGTATTTATTCGATATTCATTTCTATGGATTCGTTAAAATTACCAACAACGGCAGCACAAGCGAAGGCTTTCACGGCACCCAATTCATTGATATTTCCGCTGGGTATTGACGGAAACAATAGTGACAGCAATGGAAACTCAATGAATGCCCCAAAGAAAGAAGAGAAGGCTGATGTCGTAGAACCCAAGAACGAAGATGATGGTGCTACATCGGGTATTGTTCCCACTCTTCAGAATATTGTTGCTACAGTAAACTTAGACTGTCGGTTGGATTTAAAGACAATCGCATTACACGCTCGTAATGCAGAGTATAACCCTAAACGTTTCGCAGCTGTAATTATGAGAATCAGAGAACCTAAAACGACTGCTTTGATTTTCGCATCAGGTAAAATGGTTGTTACAGGGGCCAAGTCAGAAGACGACTCAAAATTAGCATCAAGAAAATACGCACGTATCATTCAAAAATTAGGTTTTAATGCTAAATTCACTGATTTTAAAATTCAAAACATTGTGGGATCTTGTGATGTTAAATTTCCAATTCGTTTGGAGGGTCTAGCATTTTCGCATGGTACTTTCTCATCTTATGAGCCTGAATTGTTTCCTGGTTTGATTTATAGAATGGTGAAACCAAAGATTGTTTTGTTAATTTTTGTCTCCGGCAAGATTGTTTTAACAGGGGCTAAACAAAGAGAAGAGATTTACGCTGCATTTGAGGCAATTTATCCTGTGTTAAGTGAATTTCGAAAGTCATAGATCCATTACTTTTTTTGCTGAATACTTTTGTCAAAAAGAAGTTTTCTGGATGCAAAATACATAAAATAAAAAAAAAAGATCAAAGAAGGTTATGTAAAGTACACGTATATAAATGATGACTTTTATTGGGCATTGAAAGAGTTCTGTTTATCCTTTTTTGTTTTACTCTTTTACTAAGATAGATGTCGAATAAATAAATAAATAAATAAATATTTCATTTGTTCAAAGTGAACCAGCATGAAGGTCGAGCTTAGTTGTAGTAAGCGTCTTCGAATTCTTATTACCATTCACCCACTGAAAGAAGGAACACTTAGTTCCCTCAGTTGCGCATTCAGATTTTGTCGACATTCTATTGCTATCAAGAGCTTTTCTAGAGTTGGATGCACAACACCAAAATTTTCTTCCTCTAGTCTTTGAATTATTAAGGCTAGTTTTCATCTGACAGGGAATTCCATGATAACAAAGAGGCGGCTTTCCATAAATGGATTCAGTCATGGCACTTATAGATCTCGGCAACTTAGGCTCTTTTTTCCTTACCTTGGGATCTGGCTGATCTTCTATATCTTCTTTATCTTGTTTATCTTCTATATCTTCTTTAATTTCTCTATCTTTCCTACCTTTTTTATCGTCATTAAGTCCTTTTTGAAAGTAATTTACAATGAGTCCTTGATCACTTCTAGATGTCTTTCGGCTAGCATACGTAAATTTAGGTTTCTTGTTATCCTGGGTCTCAGGAGAACTCGATTCATTGCAATACCTTTTGGAACTTTTCAGTTGGGGTTTAAACAACTGAGATATGTCGTGATGCTTAACTAATTTGAAAAATGCTCTAGCTTGAAACTTAAGCTTTGAAGGCTTTCCAAGGTCTTTAAATTTAATTGCGGAGTTAACTTTGAAATCAGTGAATACTGGGCAATGATCAGAACCTTGAAGAAATGGCCAAATGCCAGCATCTACTATACTGTTGAACTGTGAGGGGGAGCTCGTCAATATCAAATCAATTCTGGATCCATAATTTGATTGTCTCGCTCCAGTGAGGGTGTTCCAAACTGTGTAAAGGCCCATTTTCCTTCCTTGGATCTTTCTTGTTGAATCATAAAGAAACTGTTTACCTGAAGGATCTAGAGAGGCTAATGTCGGCAAAACATAGTCATTTAATAGACGTCTTGCAGGAGTCGATTTTTTGAACGCAATACATTCATTGTAGTTCACTCTTTCAAAAGCGGCACCATCTGGGGCTCGCTTTACAACATTTTGTTTCATTTTCTGGTTTATTTCATCGGCATGATCTATTAAGTCAAGGCTAACATTTATGTCACCCATTAAAATCACGTCTTTTCCTAACTTGAATTTTAAATAGTAGCACCTTTCCAATAGAACATGCACAAACTTAAGGCGGAATTTCTCACCCTCCTCCAGTCCCGAAGAGTTTGCAGGGCAATATAGAGAGAAAATCACGGTATTATCTGCCAATTCAACCACAACACATCTGCCTTCACTATCAAGCCTTAGGCCCTCTTCCTCCTGCATCTCAGTAGGATATCCTCCTATATGCTCCGATGGCTTTAAATTTCTATATGATGAGGTGGGATAATCTGCCGATTTTAGATAACCAGTAAGCCCTTCTTCGGCTTTTATGACACGAAGACTACAGCGCACAGCATCGCATTCTTCATCCTTAGGAATTCTGACAAATAATCCAACACCACTATAGCCTTTCTTTTGCTTAGGAAGAGAGATAAAAGATGAATAATGCTTCAAGTTACCAATTTCAACTGAAGAAATATTGGCCGGTGTCAATTTGAGCTCTTGAAGCGAAATGACATCTCCTTCCAATGAATTGAACATCTTATCATAGCTCTGCTGAAGCCGATTCCACGGATAGTAATTGAAGAGGGTCTTTGCTCCATTTACATTAAATGTTACGTATCTAAGAATAGTTTCCAGCGACTTTTTCCTCTGTACTCTACATAGTGGTTCTTCATCTAAGAGACCCGAACCCATCGTTCTCCATATTCCTATTACTAGCAAGTATGTTGTCTGCAGCCGCCATCAACACCCACCTGAAACCTGTTTTAGGGAATAGACTTTATTGTTCTTTTACTTGAAATGAAAAAATCACTTTTGATGTACTCTATGCAGCAGTTATGATCCGCTAATTATTATCTTTGTGTTCGAATTAAGCTGAGCAAAAACTCGTGAGCCTGTTCCCAACTTAAAGGGTAAAATACTGAAAAAAAAAAGACGCGCCTGAGAAAATTCACAAGTTCGCCATAGTCAGTGGGTTTTAGTCTGGGAGATAAAGAGATTGGAAACTTGCTTGAAATAATTGCTCATCAACGGAGTTAAATATTGGCCAAAATGACAGACCCAGGAACATTCGCTAAGGGCTCGCCATTCAAAGTAACTCATAACAAGTCAAATTTCAACTTATCCAATACAACGCCAGAATTATTAAAATTTCAATTGCAAGAACAAAATCGACAAAACGAAGAACTGCTTCGCAATGGCATACTGGAAACAGAATCTGATAATGATGGTTACAGTCTCCGGTTAGGGGATCCTTTCAATCGAGTACTACAGAAGAAGTTAAATCTGGGTAACATCACTTTGAATGCTGGTTCATTGCCTAGTTTATCTTCATCTCCTCTGAGTTGGGATGAAAACGATGAGTTTGAAATTGACAAGTTTGTGTGGCAAAACTCTGAAAAGCCCAATTATCTTAACTTGAGAATCTTGATTGAGAATTCGATCTTCGATACTAACAAAATTAAGAAAGATTCAATACTATCGTTAGCTACTCTTAAAAAATTGAAAACAATTCGTGACGAAAAAGAAAATATCAGAAATTACTATGCTTCAAAGATATCCATATCGCAACAATTCGTATCAAATATTGTAGCGAACTTAGAGAATTCAGATGCCTTGGATAAGAATTTGTTGCTTAAAATTTTGAAGCAAAATGTCTCACTACAGCAGGACTTCTTGACAGTAAGCGACGAAATTAAAGATTTGAATATTAAGATCAATAACCACAATTTAGCCTGCTTAGTATTGGGCTATGTGGAAGACGTGAAATTGAGCTTGAAGGGCTCAATCAATGAAGATGACCCTTACATATCTTCTGATTCAGATTCCAATCAAAAACTTCGAGAGTCAAACAAATATTCTAGCAAAGCATTTGATAATTTGATTTCTCATATTGTCTCAATATCAGCGGAATATGACATAACCCTACCTGAGCCGCCGGCGATACTGGAATCTGCTGGTGACCGCACAGCTTGGTCAAAAAGCTGCATTGATGCCATATTGACTTATTTTAAACTGCATCGCCAGGAATATACGGATACGTCCCTATATAACAAATCTTTGACGAACCTCACTATTCCTTCTACTGGTGGTTCTCCTAAAGCTAATAAATCTCAAGACGATTCCTTCTGGAATGAGACATCTTTCTTTGCTCAGAAGTCTCCTAATACTAATAGCGATAAGATAATATCAGAATACCGAACGGCTTTGAATGACTTGAGATTTTCACATCAGTATTTGACAAAAGAGTACGAATATTCTAAGGAGACGTCTCTTAAAATGCTTCAAGAATATCGTAAAAAAAACTTGAATCTTGAAAGAGAACTCTCAGCTCTTAAAGATGATAGCAGGCCAATAGAATACGATACATTGACCTTCAAGGATAAAGAGATCTCGAAGTTGCGTAAAGAAATTAATCTTTTGCGAATAGATAACTTGGGTTCGAAGCATACTAACTCATCGATACTTTCACCCACTCTATTGCAGAGCAGCTCCCCAACATCGAGTAGCAATACAACTAATATATCGCCTATTACAGGCGAACATTTGAATATACTGTCTGACGATATTGCCGCTTTACGCGAAGAAGAGTACGCTGGCGATGGGCCATCATCTATGAGTATTATGTCACCGACGAGGCCCATGTCAGGAAATGGCGGGATGAGTAATGCAATTTTAAGAAAAGAATTCAAAAAAATAGTCTCTGAAATCCAAGACCAATATGAACTAAAATTAAGCGAAGAACGTATGATGCGTAGAACATTGGAAGAGAAACTTAGCTCATTTAACCAGAACTAGTTCTCTCTATTATATTTGTATGTATTAATGTATTTATAGAATAATCAGCTTTTGTAGGATTTGCAACCTTTGTCCTTTTTAGGTAGTGTACGCGTCTTGAGAAAATTAGATGTTCCAAGCAGAGTTATTTAACAAGCGAATAATTTGGGCCCATGGAAGGTTAAAGAAATAAAGGAGCAGGATATGCTTGATTATCAAAACTTCAATGAAAGAAAGAGAGTTTATCAAGTTGAACCTTCGCTTAAGAAGCAAAGAACAGATGACACAAAGGAAGATGAATCGAGTAGATGCAACTTACCGTGTGCGGTCAACAATAACGAGTTTGATCTTGAAATTCCACTCAGTGAAACTGGAACATATGATAATGAACTTGTCGTCAAAAATTTGCTTATAACTTCTAAAGTTTTTCTTAAAAGAGCGCATGCATTTGTCTTGAATGCCAATAGTCATGAAGGTACGAAAAGATATTTCAAAATGATAAAGATCTCAATAAAGGCATTGTTGATTTTGATCAAAAAGTATGGGCAGTGTTTAAACCCTATGCTTGAGCTGGTTGTTTACTTCAAGCTAGCCAAAATATACTTTAGTGAAACCGATAATTTAAACAAAGCGGACGACTACGTTAACAAAGCAATTGTAATATCTACAAGAAACAACTTGATAAAAGTAAAGTGTATTAGCGAGCTACTTGCTGCACAGATTCTAGAAAAGACTAATACTAAAATACTATTAAAATATGTTGATGAAAAAATGATTTCATACAAAAATGTGGGCCTAAATCACTTATCAAATTTATTCAAAATCCTTAAAGTGAATAATTTGATTTACAGCGATTATACTACAGCTCTTGTTGTACTACAGTCATTATCCAACGATCCCGACATAGACAAAGTGAACAGAATATTGTGTTTGCTCTTTCAAAGTAATATTCATCTTTATAGGGGGTCTCCCATCCAAGCACTGAAACTTTTAGAAGAAGTTGAGAATTTGATTTCACTGAAAGATGTACCCAGTCAGATCTATGCGATGCTTCTCTTGCTGAAATATTCTACCTTAATACATAATAACAATCCCGGAGAAACGAAAAAAATGATGCATGAAATAAATGCCTTTATAACAAATGAGCAGAAAAATGATTGGATGTCCTGGAGAGAGGATGGCTTTTTTAAATTGAGCTTGTCAGTTAGTCTCGCTGGGGATAATGACATATCGTATCAAGTTTCCTGGTTGAATTCCGATGAGTTTGTTATATTATTTTATTTCATCACTGGTGTTGCTTTACTTAATGAGACATACGGAGGAAAGAGCAAGGCAAAGAAGGTATTTGAAAAGTGCTTAGAGGTAATTGAGAAGCAACTCAAAGAGCTCACTCGTGTGACGCAAGGTTCGAGAGATTTTCCTTTAAACCAGCTCAACAACAAGATACTCAAATTAAATTTCATCAAGTACCAAGTAATGTATTATCAAGTTTGGGCCAATTTTATAAAAGGTGATCTTGGCGACTTGACACCGCTCAACGAGTTTATGACATACTATAACGAGGGAAAGTTTACAAATGAAGAGCTATGTTATTATAAGTTGTTATTACCAAAGTTATTTTATATTTTTGCCATATACTACCAAAACAAAGGGGACATAAACGCAGCGAAGAACTATTTTATGAAGACTCGTAACTATTCTAGTAGTCTTAAAAAGACTCGGGATAAAAACGTACCGATTTTGCAGTTAGCTTTGGGGGTTGGCAGTGAATGTGTGCGAGCAGAGAATAATTTCAGCGAGTTATACGTTTTTTCAACGTTACACCTTCTAATTCTTAGTGAATATGAGTTGAGCACCTTATCGAAGTGTATGTCGCCAACTTTGGACATAAATAACTGCCACAAGTTTTGTACAATATTGTATCAAGATTTATCCAAGGTATTTAATAACTCTCATGAAGCAGCTTCCAACAGCTTTTCAATGAGCTTCGTAAGTTCCAACCTGCTGCTCGAGTTTACGTACAAACTTCTTCTCTTCCTATATGACTCAAAATTTTCTAAAGGTGAAATTAAACAACTTGAAGGATCTAGCTTTCCATTCTTAGAGTATTTGCAGCAGTATCTCATTTACAAGGCATCAGGAGATTTAGGAGAAAGGAACGAATATTTTCAAAAATGCATCGCAAACACTGCCGAAGGAGCTGGGTCAGAATTGGAAAACGCATTAAACATAATTGTTCTTCAAGATCATGCTACAAGGTTGCAAGAGATGGGCCAGGAAGAGGAGCGCCGAATAACCGAGACGAAAATAAAGTCCATAGAGGTAACGCGTAGTAAAAAAGTCAAGCTACTTGCCTCTGCTAACACCATATAAAGCATTAAACTATAATTAATAATGAAATTGCATGTATTTATGTAGTAATCTAATGTAAGATGAAAATTGGCATTTTTAAAAAAATTTTTATTTCTTAGATTTTTTCTTCTTTTCGCCACCATCTTCCAATTCCTCAGCCTTTCTTTTCTTCTCTTTCTTTTCCTTTTTGTCTTTCTTGTCCTTTTTCTCTTTTTTCTCTTTCTTCTCCTTCTTCTTTGCCTCTTTCTCGTTGTTGTCGCCAACTTCTTCAATTATATCAGATGTAACTCTCTTCGAAGTTTGTAATTCAGGCACAATAGTCTTTGACAGTGGTACTGCCGGTGGTAAGTCATCGTCGTGATCCTTGTATTCCTTCTTCCATGATTCCGGCGTATTTTCGTTGGTTCTTCCAAATTTATCCAACTTCCCGTCTGCCTTCATTTGCTTCTTCTTTTGGGCTACTGGACCCAATCCCCATCTTCTTGGGTAAGTATCACGCTCCATGATGCATCTTTTCACCTTAGCCACGACTCCGTGATCACAGGTCTGTAAGTCAACAGTCGTCATCTGAGCAATACCAATAGCGATTGCTTCGCCCTTGGTCGTAATTAAAACAACTTCATCATATAATTCAATTCCATCTTCATAACGCAAAAGACCCGGAATCATTAGTTTGGCACCATAGCAGACTGAATTCACGGCTGAGTCCTTAACGACAATTCTTTTGTATCCAACTAATAAAGTTTCCAAAGGTTGAATGACTTTCCTTAAATACGTTTCATCTCTAGTGTTGTCATAAACATACTGGGCATCTAAAACATCGTGTAAGGTAACCATGTCGTCGTTTTCGGATAAAGCCCCAGAACGAACACGACGTAATTCTTGCATGTGTCCTCCAACACCTAACAACATACCTAAATGAACACACAAAGTTCTCATATAAGTTCCAGCCTCACAGGAAGCCCAAAAAACGCTTAGATTTCTCTGGTTGTCGAATTCAATCAACTTAGAATCGTATATGGTTCTGACTCGCAACTGCCTTTTAACTGCAGAAATTAAAGGAGGTCTTTGAAACAATGCACCAGTTAGGTTTTCCAACGCCCTAGACATGTCTTTACTATCCTTAAGCTCATCATGTAATCGAGCGATACACACATACTCTTTTCCAGCACCCTGTTGAGACTTGACTAGTCTTGTGGCACGATCGATACAAACAATTAAACAACCGGTGACCTTAGGATCCAAAGTACCAGAGTGTCCTGTTTTTTCGACTCTCAAAATTCTTTTGACCCAAGCAACGACTTCGTGAGATGAAGGATTAGATGGTTTATCCAAGTTGATAACACCCGACGAAATATAAGATTTGATATCCCTTTTTAAAGGTGAAGAACCAGAAGGGATTGGTGTATAATGCCCACTTCTTACTAAAAGCTTATCATAATTCTTCAACAACAAGGGCCAATCTGAAGTGTTAGTAGACGGCCCAATAGACTCCGGTTTGATCATGTATTCACCAGACATTGCTTTAAGATGAAAGAGCCTTTTTATCTATATCTAGTTGAGCGAAATTTTCATCTACTAAGAAGAATTTTCTTCAGAATTACATCGTGCGGCTCAAGATGAAGTACAAAGTTGAGATCTTTTTTATTGAATCTACAGCACTCAAATATATATATATATATATATTATAATCAAAGTCCCATTACATTTTCCGATATTTCTGATTTCATGAGCTCAAGCCAAAAAAGTTCTCTTCCTAATGAGCGTACTGACTTAAGACAAATATCGATGGTTCCATTCGAAATTAATTCTTGTTGCGAATGGAAGCTTCCACTAATTAAGCTCACAGTGTCTTTTGTAGCTTTAATATCACAAACTATATTATATAATTGCTTCACAAGTTGCAGGTCAGGTATTATTAAATTATCTAACTCAACTGAAGATTTCAAGTTAGCGAAAACTGCATTTTTCTCTTTCGAGTTCATGTCGTCCAAATTAGACAATTCTAGGTTTAATTTACTAAGAGAATTTAATTGTTGGTTGAGATACGTTATGTGTTTATCCAATATTATACTGTTCTCTTGAGCCAGACGCTTATGATGATTAAGTTGCTTGCACATTGTATCAACTTTCAAAGTATTGTTATTTATCTCTGGCACAACTCTGTTGAGTTCATTGAAGGAAGAGCTTTCTTTCTCTAAACATAAGTTTATAACCTGTGATAACCTTTCTAATTGTGGTCTAAGCACGTCATTATTTGATAATGCCAAATTATCATTCCTATCAATTAGATCATCTGTCTGAGCATTCTCTATCAAATTTTCATTGGATTGTTTCGGGTAGGTCTCAGGAGCTAGATTACCGTAAGAAGCCATTTGGATTCCCCTGTCATTCAAGGAATGAAATTTCCCCATTCGCTGTTCATGAGGCAATGGTAATGGCGAAAGATATCTAGGAGGAATGGATTCATTTCTTATTAATGCATGATCGTGGAGCCTTTCAGACCCTGAACGAGGCGAAAAGTTCCCAGAATTTTGATTTAAAATATTTGACTCATTGAGAGGATTCTGTACTTCCTGTGGATCAGTTGTCTGAGGTGATGCCGCTTTTGAAATAGGAATCTTTGCCGGCTTTGGGGGAAATTGACTTGCAGAAGAATTTGAAGAAACATAAGCTGAAGGCCCTTCATGGATTATTTCAATTGGAAACTCTTGGGAAAACGAAGAGTACAATACTTCTACCAATTCCAATAGATTAAAAATCTGTAATGACCTCGAATCTTGTAAAATGCATTCTTGATACCAAGTAGTCAAAAAAGGATGATAAAATCTTCCTTGGCCATCGATGAAGTTTCCTGGTCTCAATCGTTCGTTTTTTGCATTTGTATTGACATAAACTATAGGGACTCCATTGCAATCATTGTCTGATGAGCTCGATGTAAACGGATAATTTAGAGGTATCCATATAGTTACTGGGATATCGGGTGCATTCCTTATTTTTATGGATCCATAAAGGTTCACCAATAGACTCGACTGCCCAGTTCTTGACGTATAAACACTAGTTCTGATGCGAAAACCGAAGTTCTTATTCAAATGTACTTGCAAAAACTGGTAAATATGCCTGTAGGCAATATCAAAGTATAAATATTGAGACTTTAATACATTGGCTAGCCAATGGACTACATTCTCGGGAAGTTCTGACATTATAATATTTCCTTGGGAGTGCGCAATAGCCGATTAACTATATTCTAGTATTTATCCCATGATAGTTTTGTGATAGTTTTGTGATAGTTTTGAACTTATTAAAATCACCCTCAGAATTTAAAAATGTTGTTGTAATTGTTTCCAGGACGAAGCTTTTGTTTTTTATGATAAAAGTTTGCCTTACGTTATAAAAATGAGTGGGTAAGTTTTACGTGGTGCCTTTGAAATAAGGTGCCTTTTAAATTGTACTTTTTAATGGAATTATTAGGAATGTATACTAACGTTTCAAAGATATACTGTAATATTTGCATTTATAATCGTGGCCGCTTTGTCGTGTTTAACTTGGATATTCAGTCCTAAGGAGAATCAGACTGTATGGAGATCATCAATCATATTGGCTCTATCGATGTGTTACTTAATGTGGGCGATTACCTATTTGAGCCAACTACACCCACTAGAAGCACCTAGACGATCAGATTTAAGGCCAGAGAGAAAGTAAATCCTCATGATACTGCTATATGAGGTTCTTTTTAGCTGTTGAACATGACATTCGAAGCTCAAATTGTGCTTGAGACTGTGAGACAGTCTTTTGATTTATCGAAAAATCTACTGTTTCAAATGTTTACAAAGTATTGATTATCGCAGTAGTTTAGTGCAATAATTTCCCAACTACTATCATTGCAGTTATCGTTATTAGGCACGGATAACATGTGCTCTTTTTTGAACTTATTTTAATAGAGAGAGTTCGTTTTAAATCATTTTTCCAACTGCTATACTGAATGTAAACATGTAAAGACTAGGACATAAAGACATCCAAATAAACAAATACGCTCAATAGAATACAAATGCGTTAGAAGGACGATGTTGCTTCTTTCGTTCAGCATTGATAGGTATAAAGAGTATTCTCTCCGGGTAAGCTCACATTGGAATACGATTATAAGAAGCGAATATAAAATGCGCTAAAATGTTCAAATAAAATTAATTACATATTGTTTCTTCTCTGACAAGGATAAAATATATATCTACAATAAACAAACGAGTCATTTTTATGAATTTTGTAGAAGCTCTTGCCCGATGGAACTCCTGTTTCTGCCCCAGATTCTGTCTTTGACTATAGAATTATGGGTTCTACTATGGAGAAGATCAAGCTACTCATCAGATTATGGACACCTTTGATACATCGTCCATCTTCTTTTGAATAGATCGTGTGGTAAGACTTGTCATCAGCTATATCCTTTTCGGATAATTCGAAAGGGTATCTGATCTGTCTCCACTAAATATTTTTTTAGAAGCGTGCATCGTAGAATTGGAACTCAAACTTCCTGTAAGCCAACAGACCTAGAGTGAAAGGAACACTACAAAAGTGAATCTAACTTGAACCGACATATAACCTTTTACAATTAAAACCCCAAAACGTAAAATGATACAAAACGTACACACAGACATACTAGAGAGAAAAGAACAAGGTACATCTTTCATCGCCAACATTTTTCAAAATATATGTTCATAGAAGTCTTCTATCATACCATATTCTAAAAAACAAAGATAATTGGGAAATTGAGATTATTATTAATGGCAAATAATGACTTCATAAGATATGGGATACTAGAATGATGCAAAACACTTCAAGTAACCTAACTAATTATTCATGCAAAAAGTAAGCTTAAAGAGTAGCAGATAAGGTTGCAAGATCATGATGATCAGTCAAAATCTGAAAGAATTATTATATCTATTAAAAATGAGATGCCATACGTATATAGAAATAAACGTATAGTATACGATTCAAGTCGTAAACTCAACGTACGACTCATCATGAATACAAAATCTTTTGAGCTAACTAAATCACAAACAGCCGCATCTTATGTATAATAAAAGGAATACACATATTAGATACCTAAAGAGATATACAAGGTCTCCTCTCTCGTTAGCCTTCTTGTCCCTTTACACATCAGGTAGCATTTCTATGCAAAATATCCTTGGTCGTCACGCAAAAAGAACGTAGAAAATCATCTTATAATAACCGCTCCATTTTGATATAATATGTATATTTCCCATAGGTTTCAAGATTCCGGTTTGATCTTAGATGTAGCAACTAAGGACTTCAGTTGTTTGTCAAGTTCAACATGACCTTGTGCAAAAAATATTTCAAGATATCGGTTGTGTAGAGGTAACCTTTTTCTCAATCTTAATCTTAAGCTTATTAATTCTATATATGTAAGAGAGACATCAACGAGATATCCGCTAAAGAACTTCGTGACATAACCAAACTCAACATTATATCAAGGTGATTAATTCTATATATGTTAGTAAATAGATTGATAAAAGAGTGACATCAGGGAAATCTCTTCCATTGAACTTCATCGCATCACTAAATTGGACATCATGTCAAGATTATCAAGGTCATATATTATAAAATTAAAGGTAACACTTTCAAGGGGGATCATGAAAACGGATATATCACATACAAACTATTGATATTATTTTTCTGTGAATATATAATCCTTCTTACGATTGCACACATAATGCTATAAAGATCAGAGTTAGTAATCGTATTCAATGAATAAAACTTATATACCACATAAATGTAATTCAAACAGAAGTAAGAGTTCGCCATAGACATACCTCTATCCGAATACAATACTAACGTATCATGTTTGTGATATTATAGTAATTCTACAATTTACAATAGACACTGTTTATTTGTATTATATTATCAAGTTAAGGGAGAGCAGTTGTCGAGAACGGTCTGAGCCATTAGTATCTAGCATTTCTGAAGTTAAGGATGTGAGTGGACGTATAGTTGTATTACCATTTTTCACTCCTAACTCATGTACCAATTTGGGATAAAATGCATTTAAGAATTATGATCATAGTTTTAAATTGTTTGGATGATATATACGTAGGTTAATTATAATTTATTATTTTGTTTTTTAAGTACTAACATAGTAAGTCTTTAATATCCTGGCGATTACATCCTTAGCTTTAGTTTTGAATTCATGAAAACATCTTATAGATAACTGTATTAATATATCGTGTGATATTTTAGCCATTGGTTGCGCAAAGGCGAATATATGAGTATAGACATGTTTTCGAAACTAGTTAACCTTATTCTAAGTCATCATTAGATAGTAATGCTGATTTTGCGCCTAATTTTAGATCGTCGTTCGTTTATGTTTTCTTCTTAATATGTAGAGTAATCATCTTAGAAATAGAATCTATATCAATTATAGAACCATTTATCCTAGTTGAATATTTCAAGTGATAGTTGGCGTTTTTAATTTTATAAGGGACTGGATTATATTCCCGTTAGCTCCAAAGAGCGCTGATCTTAATTGTATATCGTATTTGCCATTTAGAAATGAAATGAGTTTTCAGGATTGATATTATATATTTTTTTAATGATTATATAATTTATATAACTTGGTTCAGCGCGATATCAATTCTCATCATCACTAACATCATCGCGATAGCCGTATTTCCTGATCTCACCTAACTTTTTGCGGGCAGAGCCTAATAAGTTTTCAAGTTTCAAAATTTCAACCTGCTGTTCCATTTCAATCGTTTTGCCCTCATAAGGTGTCAACTTACTTAAATCAATGTCATTTGAGGTATCTGCTGTGGTAATTAAGCTCTGCACTTTAGACACTAAAGCTTTACATGCTTGAGATACGGAAGTGGAGGCGCTTTCGAGCTGATCCTGAGTTTTAGAGACGAAATTGGCCTTGACCCGAGATGCAGCAACTAATTGAGCAGTTGAAGCTGCTACCTCATTTGAAGCAACAATCAATTGTTCATGGGAGTTTTTCTCATTTAGAACACCATCCGCTGTCTGTATTAATATGTTCGTGGCCCCTGCAACTGCTTTGGAAGCACTGATTAATCCTTCAGTCCATCTATTGTTTTTCTTGTAGAATTCGGTTCGGCTTTGGGTTCCTCTTCCTTTGTTGACGATCTCCTTTTGAGATTCAGTCGCGGATTTGATCAAAAGTGCAACTGCATCAGTAACAGCTTTCGCTGCTGCCAATAAAGCGCCATGTACCTCGAGTTTACCCTCCTTAATGTTTGGCAGATTCATAAGGTCAGTCAAGTATTTGGATGCCATGTCAACGGCTTGAGCTGTATTTTCCATTTCGTCTCTAACCATGTTCTCCAAATTTCCCTGGAAATTAAGTCCATGAGTTGATCTCAAAGTTTCGACTAGCTTTGTCAATCTTTGCAAGTTATTTTGGAGCTGCAAATTACAATCAATAACCTTGTCAATTTTGTCTTCGTCGTCACTATATCTGCTTAAGTTTTTGGTACTCAAGCTTGTAAAGAATGTTTCCGTACTTGACAAAATATCCGAGACATATTGCACGACTTTCTCCTCCTTCTCTTTAGAAATGTTCCTTCCTATTCCTTTTGCATTTAGCATCAAATCATTGAGAGCGGTGGCCAATTCCGAGCTCGTTACAATAATGTTGGAATATCCAGCGTCTTCATCATTATAGGTACTTTGTCCGTCGACAATGAAACTATTGAAAGTAGTCGCAAAATCTGTTGCCATGTCAGAGCAGAGTTCAACAACTGACAAGAGATATTCTGGTGAAGCATTCAAATTTCCTGCTTGCATTGACGATAAGAGCTGATGTTTTGTGTCTTGTACACGTTTAGTGTTATTGGCCAAAAAGATATCAATCAACCTTCTGAGCTTCTCAATATTATCTAAAAGAATTTGATCCACTTGAGCATTAACAATCTCATCCTGATCATTTTTTGCAATTGACAATTCTTTCAATGCACTATCCAAGGATTCTTGAGCAATTTCAAGGTCTAAGTCCTTTTCTTTTAATTTATCTTGTAACGAATCTGGTCCCAATGCTGACAACTGCCTCTCTTTTTCAGCAAGCAGATCTTTCATTTCCTTCATTTCCCTTTCATGCTTTGAGATTATTGAAGATAGATTTAAGGATTGTAACTTCCCAGATTCATTAACCTGGCTATTAAGTTCCCTAACCTCAGATTGTAACTTTTCAATATCTTGATCTTTCGATGCCTTGACGCGGTCCAAATCTAATCTTGCTCTATCTCTCTCGCGTATCAAGTCAGCCAATTCTACATTCTTGGCCTTTAAATCTTTCTCAAACTTTTCTTTTTTCATTATAGCTTCCTGAGCACTATTGATCTTCTGTTGAATCTTCTTGAATTTTGAAAGTAAGTTCAAGTGCTCTTGGCGCAACTGAGAATACAATTTCGCTAAAGATTCATATTTTTTGGTCCAGCTACTAATTTGATCATCCAAATTTTTGATTTGCTCATCTTTAGCTGCAACTTGTTGAGTAGCAATATTGTTATAGGAAGTCAACTCAGTCTCTAAATTCTTGACTCTTGTATCATACTGTTGTAACAACAGTTGATCATTATCATACTGATTTTTGAACATGATAAGATCATGCTCTAATTCAGTTACCCTAGATTGTTGTTGTTGAGTTTGCTGTTGTTGCAATTGCTGTTGTTCTTGTAAAAATCTCGACTCTTGGAGCCGCTGTTGCTCCTCAAATAAGCGCTGCTGGTTGAGCTGCTCTTGCACTTGTTGTTGACGCTGTAATTCAAGTTCATGTTGAAGTCTCTGCTGGTCTTGCTGCTGTTGGTTGAAGGTCTGCTGAGCTACTAACAAGTGATCCACAGCAGGCGGTTCAACAGGAGTATCCGCAACCTCAAAAGAGGAAGTCGGCTGAGATGATAATTGTCTACTATCGCCATTATTAACCGAGGTGGGCCTTGAGACTACCGTACTACCATCATCGGTTACCTGCAAGTTTGGAGGACTATTAGATAATCTTGGTATAGTGATCAAACTGGTTAAAAACTTTATTGATTGACAATCCGTGTAAAAATCTCTCAACATGAAATGCTGATTATCAAATCTTTCAAACAAGACTGTCAAAGCATCATCCTGCCCCAATTGCTGATACATGGCTCTCAACATGGATATACAAAACTTATAAATTCCATAAGATTCTCCAATTAAAGGAACGAAGGCACTCACTTTACACAAGTTGTTTGAAGTTTGGTGTATTGTAGCAAAAATCATTTTCTGAAGATCATTGAGCAGGTCCTGTAAATCCATCAATTGCAAGATAGCTTCATAACCTTCATTTGGATCGTTCACAGCTCTCAAAGAAATGTATTCTTCATACTCAAACATACCATTAAACGCAGGATTATTTCTATGAAAATCCAACTTCTGTAGAATATATCTATCATATTGATGGATTAATCTGCCATATGAATTTCCGTGAGTTGGAAAGACATTTCCTAACGAAGCAAGAAAATCTCTATTTCGATAAGCATCCTTCAAAGTATTGGGATGCCCCTCCTGAAGAACCTTGTGAATCGTAATCAAAGCCTTAAATAATTGAACTTCATCACTTTGCAAGGGCTGAATCTTTATAGCATTCCAAAATGCTCGAGAATTCTTATGGTCCCAAGTGTAGACAATACATGCTCTTACATGCTTCCTTTTAGGGGGAACTTCATCCGCATTACAAGCCTTTTTAACACTTATTTGTAAATCAACCTCAGCACGGCTCATCTTAATTACTTCTTAGAATTGCAAGGTTAAAAGTCTCTTCAATATTTCTCAATGGAACATGTTTCATTGAAAGAACGTCAGCAAGAAGTACCTTTTCCGATAGCCTGGTAGGGGCAGTTCGGGATAGCCAATTATTTAGTCACGTGCTGATACTTGAAGAACTATTTAACATTAGATATTATACGTTTAATTATAAATATAGATATCCTACGAGCTTTACTATCCTTCACTAAGTTCATTAGAAACAGTTTTAGCGCCTTTATCTTTTTGGTTTGAAACTGTAAAAAATCAGTATGTTAGAAAATACCTCTCCCCCAAGTCTTTTCTGATTCTAATTTAATTCCTTCTGTACCTTGCTTTACCAAAATCGAATGGTAAGTAATTATAACGCATCATATGCTGTATTTGTTTCCTCATAGTCAAGGTGAATAGTATGATGAAATACATTAATAGAATTGGCCAGAAGACTGGAATGTCAAAAATATTCCAGGCTGTTAAAAACAAAGAAATCAACGTAGCCCTTGTTCCATTATACCAAAAAGTGAACTCAGGCAACTTTCTGATAAAGGGCCTAAAGTCTTCGTCTTTTTGGGTAGATTCTAGCTCATCTTGAAACCCTTCTTCGATTGACTCGCTCTTCATTTCTTGCTCTAACGACGGATCGAACTTTGGAGTCAAAAAAGCTAAGAACAAGTTAAGTAAGTATATTCCTAGACCATAGCATATTATATACCAACCTTGGGAGAAAAATATTCTGAGCAAGAATATAGCAAGTAACGATGCAGATCCAATCCACCTATTTCTCGTATAAGGAACTGATTGATCTAAATACTTTTGATAAGTAATTTTAGTTTGTGTTAAATACTTATATGCTGGGTTATCTTCAAACCTTGAAAAGTCAAACTCAAATGCCATTCTTTCAACTGTCGATATATCTGTGTGCTGGAAGTCAAAGTGACACCTTTTGTTTTGTTGAAAATGGCCTGATCGAGATCTAAATGGCGTACGAAACATTGTACAGGTTTTGTGTCACTATAGGCTACATAGTTTTTTGTAAAAGAAGATACTTTGAATTATTTACAAGAATTATGACTTGGATACTTCTGAATTAGACTAGTTGATGTCGAATAGTTCTTTAGATCTTCTAACGGATCTTACTGATTTCTTAGCCTCATCGAACACCCTTGAAATGACTAGGTCTCCTGGGTTGCTAACTGCAGCATTTTCTTCTATGACAGATGCTACAGAAGGAGCGATCTTAGGAAGATAATGATCTTTCAAATTCTCTTGTTCATGCTTTAAAAATATACCTGGGGTTTCTATGAGCTCAAGAGCGTTTTTTCTGTCTTCGCCATACAAAATCTTATTGTAAGTAAGGGTTCTCAATTCGTCTATTATTTCTTTTTGTTTTTGGTCTCTGTAGATTGAATCGACGTGTCTACACAACAATCCCCTGCCATCAATCATGACATCGGCATCTAACCTGTTTATAAAATTCAAGTAGCTAGTCTTTGAAGCTTCTAAATCACCGGCGGCTAATTCTCCTCTCTTAAAAGACAAAGACAAGCTATGGATATAATTATATGTTGCCTGGACTCTTGCTTCTTCAAATGAAAGACCCACATCGAGTAGCTGAGATATATTTAACAACCTCGAGGCCGCTATCTCTAATTCGTCTTCTTTAAAATCAAGTTTAAACTTCAGCTTCAAACCTTCTTTATAGCTTGAAGCTTTTGCAACGAGAAACTCACGCTTGGCTGATTCAATACTCTTCAATTCTTCCTGCTGTAAAAGCTCTTTTCTTGACATTCTGTTTTCCTCTTGTTCTGCTTTAGAAGGGTCACTAATAACCTCATATCCAAATCTCCTCACCCTCGGCTCAAAGTGAGGAGTGGGTAACGACAAACTTTTCTTTAATGCAACACCCACGAACTTTCTTAAAGGGTGAAATGGGTTATAATAAAAACGTACATAACCAGGTTCAACAGCATAAATTGTATGATCTTTTCCTATATCAGTATTCTCACCCGGATGAACCTTTGTACCCCTCTGCCTCATGATGATTTGTCCTGGCTTAACAAAATGGCCTTCATAAACTTTAGGTCCCAATCTTCTACCTGCGGAATCATTCTTATTGGTCTTTGAGCCAGAAACTTTTTTAGTAGCATTACGTATTTGAACAAGTCCATTAAGATATGTGGCTTTAAAAGTGCTCTCTCTAATGATTGAAGCAATACCTAGTCTACCGATCGTATAGATCAACCCCATTTTTGATTTTTATTCGAATGAACAATACTTTAATATGTATGTATTAATGTACGTATGTTCTGTCTTATAACTTGATAAAATTGAAAATTTCGTTACTATGCGTTCTGAAAAATACTGGAATAAGATAAATTTCGGACTACGGTATATAAACTTAAAAAGAATCACTTTTAATAGTTAACTAAATGCACCGATTAGCAGATGGTGTCTGATTACGACTGTTGATCTTCATGATCTCTTGACTGGTTTTTTGGTTATAAAAAAAAGGTTTCTAAATGAAATGACAAAAAAGTTTTGCGCAAACCCGGAATCGAACCGGGGGCCCAACGATGGCAACGTTGGATTTTACCACTAAACCATTTGCGCTCAGAAAGAGCTCCGAGACGGGGAATTGAACCCCGGTCTACCATGCGACAAACGGTAATTCTAGCCACTAAACTATCTCGGATGTTTTTTAAAAATG